AAATACGACAAACAAATATTCAAGATCTAGGTGTAAATGTATGAAAAGATTTTTGTTTGGAATTATTTACCTTAAAAATGCTCAGGTAGAAAAATTTCAATATACCATGTCAACATCGTTGGGAATATAAATTTTGTCACGTAAAGACTCCCATAACCTTAAAAAATTCAAGTGGTGTTATATATTTGCTTAACTGATGCTCCATGTGTCGATATACTAAATCGCTGAGATGAGGGGCTTGAAATAACAAACGAAATCGCGGCTGTGTATCGGGCTCAGCATAACATTCGGAAGGCAAAAGGAAAATATGAAAAGGCGGAATATTGCCCGACAAAATTACGATCGCTTTAGATTCTACACGGCCCATTGCAGGGTGAATTGTTATCTCCCTACATTGCTATAAAAAATCTATTTGTTTTCTTCTTCCAGTTAATAAACTGATTATACCTTGTATTACCGAAAAGTTTTAGTTCAGAATAACATTTTGCTTTAGTTACCTAGTTAATAAACTAAGCTTAGTAAATTCACAAATAACAAATACTTCAGATTAGACAAAAATTTTCCAAAGCTAATGAGTCTAAAATTGGAAAAAAATGGAATGTGGTAACTTTCTCATAAGTTACTAAAAATTTAATATAAATTAAAAAATAAATAAAATTTAGTCCAAGTATATGCTTCATTATTTTGCATATCATTTTATGAGGTAATATTGCGGAAGTAGGTTTAAGCATTTATAAGGTAAGGTCGAATACTTGAGCAGATTATGACTTAACTATGTGCTAAGTTTAAGGCATCTTGAATCTTTTAGTTACTTTTCATATATTTAACATTTAAAAATATATGAAATTACATTTTTACTAATAACCCTTGACTTTTTTGTGTTAATAAATAAAGTTTTATAGTAAACTTGATTTCATAAAGGTAGTTTATACAGCATTCAGTTCAAAATAATCATTACCACTATTATTAATAATTTCGTACCACTCTATTCTACTAGTTAAATTTATTATGAATATTGAACGTGCTAGTGAAATGAATTAGCGTGGTTTGTAAAGTGTAAATTATAACTGCAGCCAAATTAAAAAATATTGGATAGGTCAAGTGGTATAATTATTACGGACCTCAACTTAAAATGCTATGCAAGTTGCGGTTGAGTAGCGGTTAACGTCTGACGTCTCATTCATTACTAAAGTAACCAGCCTCTACAACTTAGTTGTCGCAAACTTGCTGTTTCTGTTTTCCCTATAAAATAGAGTTGTGACAGCGACTAATGTCTGTTTATATTGGTCTGGGGCTAAGAGGTTTGCTCCTTGTGATGAGAATTGTTAACTTTGACACTGTCAAGTATATTCAATTTGTTGTAACTTTTTTAAATATTTAATATCCGTTCATATACCATATACCACGCGCTCTATTGAAGGAAAGGTAAATTTTAATATTTAATCCATAACACCACTGAAGGGTTATTGCCCATTATGGATTATTAATGTTCCGGCTCCTACCTCTACTGACTGATGGCAAAGAGTTTCCGTTAATCGATTCCAAGTATCGATTATGAACTTTGTGCGAAAATCATCCGCTGCGAGTGAGTTCTTGACAAATGTCTGTTATAAGCGCAGAACAAATTGGTGCAATTAATTACTGGTAGAGCTGGCAGCGCTGAGCCAACAAACATTATCAAGATCGTTAATTTGAACATCTTACTCTGATACGCTGTGATGATATTAGATGTTCGAAATGAATGCATGTCATAACGGATACTGTGGCGGGTCTCATAGCAGCTGAATGCTCCCACCCTTGATTGCATCTTCGTTTATCAAACTAAAAGCATGACATATGTCTCTAGATGAATGTCTAAAATTTTCATTTAATCAAAGTGTGCTTGTACATGTGTATGTTAGATGCTGGTATTCCTGAAATCCTATGATAATACTGAAATTAACCAACCTTTATCGCTTAACTAGTGACTTAATCTCGATTCGCTTTTGTGCGTGGTCTAGGTACGTTTTAAATAGAAATGAATAGCTGTTACTGCGAATGTATCGTAAGAGAAAGACTTATGCTATTGTAGATTTTTCAACAGGCCTTATTAAGGCATAAAATTTTCTTGTTTTCATGTATCTGTCAAGGTTTAGCCAGCGCTTGATATGTGAATTTCCATGAACGACTCAATAAAACCAGTTACTGTGTTTTCCGTAGGAAAGAAAGATTTTCTTATCGTAAATGTTAACTCGAGTAATAAGTTAGTACTGCACAAAATTAATATCATATAAAATCGGTTATACCTATTATGTACTCTCATTTTTGAGTTTATCTCGTTCAGACAGACAGGCAGATGCGGTGGGGGACTTTCTTTTATAATATGTATACACTATTGATAGATAATTAAGCTCCACCTAATAACTATAGCTATAATCAATCAATTAAATCGTTTTTTTTTTTAATTTTGAGCTTATAAATAAAAAATGATAATAAACAACAAAAAATTAAAGAATCTTAATTCGGATCAGATACAGTACCATACCGTTTACAAAATAAGCTCTCAGATCCCTTTAATGTTCCGAAATCCAAATACATATCCAGCAATCCTATTTTATAGGCTCACCGAGGCACATGAAATCTCAATATGAATTTTGAATGTTGTACATACATGACTTTTAATCAAAAGCATATTATCTCACATAAAAAATATTTTACGTTCGTTTTGACGCTGGGTATTAAATAAAATCATAATTCATAAGTTACTGTGGTTGAATTAAATCAAACTGGTGGCCCATGACTTAGCCATAAACATTAGTATATAAATGCCCTACAATCTGGAAAGATTACAGATTATAGAATATAGATTTTGCTTTTACTTTTCCATATAGGCATACTGATTTCGAGAAATGGATATAAGGTATGTTATAAATGTTAAAATGAAAAATCATTTTCACCATAATCGTTAGTATCTCTTGAATAAGTTTATTCGGCCACCAGAAACAATGTACGACTGAATTCTTGAATTTCTAAATATTTCAATAGAGAAACATAAGCATTAAGTGCCAACACATTTATAAGATTATGCAATTGTACACATTTAACCGTAAGAATTACCTTAATAGCATTTGTAGAGCTTTGTTTTATAATAAATACTAGAGCAACTCACCTTCGCTTCTTTCGGGTTCGTCCCAGGTACGTTTTTACGGATAGTATGGCATAGATAGACTATATATTATATGATTTATAGCCTACAGCCTTCCTCAATAAACCTGTTATCTAATGTAAAAAGTATTTTTCAAATCGGATTAGTAGTTCCTGAGATTAGCGCGTTCAAGCAAACAAACAAAGTTTATAACATTAGTATATGATAATATTTTTAAAAACTAAATCGATTATAATTGAATTGCTAGTACCGCATAAATATTTCATGTGACAACGGTAGTTGGTTATCGGTCGTGTTTATGGCCTTCATAAAAATATCGTAAGAGAAATGGTATATTGGCACTTTATTCCCAATATGAACCATTTTCTTTCAAACTGCTTATCAAATACAAAGTATTCTTAGGATTATAGATTCCTGGATATTCACAAATATTCCTCATTTTAAATAAATATAGCTAAGCGTGAGTTGAACTTATTGACAGATTTTTTTTGTAGGTACAACATGCAAAAAACCATGGCATGAGCTTTTTGGGTTTTTGGAACTGTATTTACTTTTAGTGGGGTTAATGTGGTTTTCATATATTTTGTCTAATGTCATATAAAGACTTTAGACAAAATTTATTTAAAAAAATAATATATTAAAAAAATAGACATATTTTTTTAAACATACGAATACTAAATAATATGTCGCTCATAAATAGTCTTTAACTTATTTCATACGTCAAGACAAATCGTAACGACATTTCAAATGTAAATCTAATTACTTATAAAATATAAAATATTTAAATACGTTATATTATCAAAGAAGAAAACGCGATGAAAATTATACCAAAAATAATATTGACTCTAGCAATCTGTGATATAGGGTTCCCTTCTGAAATAACAACAAAATCTTGGTGACCCATCTTTGAGAATTTTCGCGGAACATTTTAATATCACTAATAGATTTTATACGTATCGATTCCTCACAATAGGATTTGATACTCTTGTTTGAGTAAGTAAACATATCCAAGTTCCCGGTACCAAATGAAATAGATATCATTGATTGTCATTGATCCTATAGCTTTTGTTTGTATATAATATATAAATGTCTATTTTATCGCCAAACCGATGTGGTTCAATTTAAAACAGGAGCTCCTCACTATGCTGGAGGTTGTGACTTCGATTCCCATACAAAATAAATATTTTAGTGTACAGTATGTCCACTAAAACCACCATTACCACTATTATAAACAAATGAAAAATAAAGTGATTTAAATTTAAAAAAGAACCTTCATAAATATTTTCTAAGAAGGTTTCAATTGAGAGGGTCTCTAAAAAGGCCTAAGATTCGTTTGCTTGATCTAAGTAAACCTCACCTTTCATGTATATTTTATTTCTGATAATATTCTGATATGAAGGACCCTTGTATCACATTCATTTAAATGACATATTGGAGAAACATACTGAAACGTTTTGATCGGAAAATATTCTGAATTTTCTTTGAATAGCAAAACCGAATACACTTGGCCTAAGGCAATATTAAGAATTGATTTTGGTAATAGATTTATTATACTGCTATAGTGTAATAGTTTTAGTAATATTCATTAATGGTTAAGTGGATAATATAATGAAACTACAAATAACATTAAAGTTATATTATGGAAATCTCTCAAAGCATATTACGTTCTCGTTATTCAGAGATTGTGAGGAATCTTTGAAGAGTTTGAGTTTTAAGATACTAAGGTAATTTTACTCGTGCTTCATTCTACATTAAGTTGAAAAATTATTATAATAACGTAAATTCTGTTCTATTTTCTAAAGCAAGCCACCATTTAACAACAGAATTCTCATCCACCTTTTTTTTGTTGTGAAAAATGTTATTTAATTTCGAGCAATTATTACACGCGCTCTACGAAATTACTCTAAGGAATAGGACCCTGTTTATTTTTTCTAAGATAAAGGTCTTTCTGTGATGAATTCTTTATATCTCAAAATAAGATTATTATTACTATGTAACTGTAGTATTTTAATCTCTTATTGAGGTATAAATTTAATATAGTAAAGTAGTACACTAATTATATTATGCTCATTATCCATAGTTTTGCTTAGTTCACGCATTTGAAAATTGTGATTTGTACGAATGTCTTTATCATGAAAACTACTTAAAATTTCTACTGTACATAGGAATAAGTAAGGATATGCGATATCTGCGAGCAATTTTGCCATCACCATCTGTATCGTTTTGTGAAAAAACATTACGAATGACGTGTGGGCTTTATTAAGTGTCTCGTGTGACGGATAACCGAGTGCCAGCAGGTGCGGGCGAGTGATATTCCGTCGCATACAGATTAGGTCGACGAAACACCGACGGACCATTGTTCGCTAAATGTCTATTTTACAAGGCTCTTTGTGGTCTTTTGATCACTGTTCTCATTGCTTTGAATAGTTTAACTTGTAACAACGTTAGTTTGGATGTTCTCAAATATTCAATATGTTAATTAATGACAAATTTCGTAATATTTATACGGCTAATTATATAATTTACAAGAAGATTTAGATGAATTGATTATAGAATATTATCAATCATATTATACGGTCGGTAAATTACAATTCATTTTCAGTTTTACTTAGCAAGTAATTGTCTTTAACATTTTGTTATTTATACATTTGTTTTATAAAGTAGGGTGATTTATAACTCTGCCCGCTCAGTTAAACTGCTTCGCCTGTCATTTCCTTGTCTTAAATTGAGATTGATCCGGTAACGGGGTAGCTTGACGTGTAGTCACGTGATGCTAATTTTGTTTTCCTTTTCTTCACATCCCACATAAACGGCGGCAAAACATAAATACTTGCCAACTAATAATTTAATTAAACAGATACAAATTATGGAATATCAAAAATAGATAAATTTAATTAAATGTTAATCTAAAAGATACCTTAAAAATGTAGTGAACATTTTATTTTCCTTAATTACATAATTATTACATACTAGCATTGCCCGCCGCTCCGCCTGCGTTGAGATAACTAAAAACCAAATTCTTAGGTTTTACATATTAGTATACTCTTAAAATGCAGTTTTTGTATTTTTTCTCAGAAATAAGATATTTTCCCGCGGTTAAAAGTATCCTATATGTTGATCCGGATATCCAGCTATTATCATACCAAATTTCATCAAAATCTGTCCAGTGGTTTTCTCGTGACGCAGTAACAGACAGACAGACAAAAATTCTAAAAACTATAGATTCGGACTCTGTATCGATAATAATGTCTATCTCAATTAGATTTTCCAAAAAATATTTAATGTACAGATTCGACTTTGTTACAATTTTATTATATGTATAGATTAACGGTAAGTTAATTGTTTCAGAGGGGCTCAGACGAGCTTCTTTCGCAGAGTGGCGTCACCGTCATGGCGCCCGCCGCTCCACACCACGCCGACAATAATAACCAGGACTCCGCCGCAAAAAAGGTATTATATATTTATTTATTTTATGTTTTATATTTTTATAACGTAATGCCTAAGTAATTGACACAATTGACTTACATACAACAGGGACCCAAAAATGGGATAAAATGTAGCCCTATAAACTTTTCAGCTCGTATGCTACAGATAGTAGATACCTATGAAAAAAATATAACGAATCATTCATTATCTTAATAATTTGTCATATTAATCGGTTTTAAAAAGTAATTACCCATTTGAAACAGTTATACTCATAGTTTTGATCTTTATACCAAGCTAAAGGTAATCTTTTTGTGATTCTTTTTTTATATGTAAAATGGTAACGTTTGATCGTCACGTTTTGCACATACATACTTACCTACTAATAATTCTTGTACGCTTTCTCTTAGTTGAGAACTTATTATGAAATGCATATTATAAATGGAATATATGAATCTATATTTCATCATATATTACATATTTCTTGTGTTGAAACCTTTCCTGTAATTGGATTTTCCTAAATAAATATATTGGTAGAAAATTCATTTTATCGCTTGTTTTTTATTTATAACTAGCAGTATCCGCGGCTTCACCCGCGTTCAAACTTCCGATATAAACATCAGTTTTACAATAATGTATGGAAGTCTGCCCGATTTTTGATTACTTGACATTTATGATTACTGCTCCGCTCCCTTGGGTAGTAGCATGATGATAAATAACCTATAGCCTTCCTCAATAAACGGGCTATCTAATGCAAAAAGATTTTTTTTTAATCGGACTCCAGTTGGTCTGTTCATCCGGTTCCTGACATTAGCGCGTTTAAACAAACATACAAACAAACAAACTCTGTCTCTTTATAATATTAGTATAGATTTATAAAAATAACGAAGTAATAATACGCGTGTCTTGCAAAGAGCGACTGATGTGCGATGTGTGAGTTTACATCTTTACGCAATGTCTGAAGTTTACTTAATTTAACTCACGTTGCCGGTAGCCGATTTTAACATAAAGATTTTATTAATAAAAATATAATCTTCTCAAAATTACTTGGTGTAATTATCAGAAGATTTATTTTATATTAATGGATTACCTATTGAAAAAGGAATTCTGAAAGGATAGCTAGCCGTAAAGAGATAGTCGCTAGCGGCTTTCAATCCCAAAATTTTATAAATTTCTTAGCGCCTTGAAAAAATTCGAAATTTTTTACATACTGCAAGGAAATTGAATTGATAACATAATATTTTCTTAGATTTACTAATGACATCTTAAATAGCACAAATTTATCATAATTTTTTGGTTTTAAAGTATAATAAAACCGCAATAAAATCCGAACCCATGATTTTATTTTATATGAAAAGTTGAATTGATAGCATTAATTAAAATTAAAAAAAAACAACACGACAATACTATAAGGTTACTCTCATCGTTTCTTTACTGCGTATATTCCATGGTAAAATTTATTACTAATCTTTAGTTTCCATATAAATTTATGAGCATCATTTAAAATTAAAATCTTTATCTTATTCGTAGTTTATCTAAAATATAGCACTTTTCAACAGCCATAACGTATAGTATCGTAATAAAAAATAAACAATGTTGTTTCAGGTTTCCCATTGCATAGTTTTTTTGAGTGTATTTACATAAACTGGACGCACGCTGCTCGTAAATGCACACTTTGTTTGGTACTGAATAAACAAGACACTTTTTTCGGTCTAGTTTGATCGCCAAATAGATTGTGTAATCTAATACGATGTTATAAATAACTTGAATACATAGAACAAATATTGTGTTAACTTAAAAAATAATATTGCACAGTAAACACGTAAAAAATATTATTTACCGGCTCGAATTCATTAAATTTAATATTTAAAAACTCCCCGACCATCTTGGCCGATTTTCATTAAACATAGCTATGAATACTCCCGACTAATTGACCTTTCAAACAAAAAAAAAACAAAATCAAAATCAGTTTTTACGTTCGGGGGCTACGATGCCACAAACAGACATATACAAACACGTCAAACGTATAACACCTAGTCGTTTTTGCGTCGGGGGTTAAAAATACAGGTATTTTCGCTTTATATATAATTAACAAAATATCAGCAAGATCTTATCAAATATAAATAGGCATTTTCTAATTATCATACATAATTATGTTATTACAATGGTAAATTGTCTTAATTTTAAATACTATGTAATTTTATATACTATAATAAAAAAGGCACAAGTTTAGTATTTAGGACTCCTTCGTCTCCTCAAAATAATTTTTATATATTTAAACTTCCTATCACCTCCTATCCAAAAATAACACCCACTACTCCAGGGGCCGCGTCCATATACTAAACTGCAGCCTAAAGAGATAACCTTAAAATGAAAATAATAACTTCGGACAGCACTACTTTAATATGCGTGAGCCACTCATTTGTACATACTTAAGTATGTCAGTCGGTGTTAACACCGACGTGTAAAAAATGTTTCTATGGACATAGCTTTTCTAAGTCATATTTCAAGAATAAGTTATTATTTTTTGTAATGTTTCAAAGCAGTACACTGAATAATATTAATCTCATAAAAAGGCTAAATACGCTTTGTTATTTACTTAATATTATTTTATAACAAGCTGTGCCCTGCGGTTTCACCCGCGTTAAATTTGTTTGATTATAAACATCAGTCTTATAATAATGTATGGAAGTCTGCCTGATTTGTTGACATTTATGATTACTGCTCCGCTCCCTTGAGTAGTAAGTCGTAAAATCGATGATATATAGCCTATAGCTTTCCTCAGTATACGGGCTATATAATGCAGAAATAATTTTTCAAATCGGATTAATAGTTCCTGAGATTAGCGCGGTCAAACAAACAAACAAATCGAATCAAAAAATAAGTAAAATAAGTATACATTTCAACATTATATTAGTAAAAAACTATGTTTTAATTGTTTTTTTTTCTTGTGTTTTATTCTTCTTTCACAATTTCTGGTCTGAATTAAAATAATTACTTATGTAACAGTTGCGAAGCTATAGAATATCGGAATATAATACGCTAGCCGATACCTTTTGAAATTCTTGTCAGAAACATGGTATTATATAAACATAAAGGACAAAAAACAAAAATAGATTCTGAAAGCCAAAAATAGAAAACGTTGTAAAAATCAAGGATGATAATTTATAACATTAAATTATTACATACAAGTAATATAAGTATCAAGAGGATACAAAGTAGAATTATTTATATAATAACTAGCAGAACTCGCGGCTCCGCTCGCGCTAAAACTACAAAAAAAACTGTAAAAACGTATGTTTCGTACAAACTTTCATCCCCTATTTTATCCCCTTATGGGATGAATTTCAAAAAATGCTGAAACACGTATTTATTTAATTGTTTTGAAGAGCATTAATACCAAGTTTCAAGTTATTCTGATCATATTGTTTTTGGGTTGTATTATAAATGAACGTGGGAATGAGATAATCTCCCGCGGTGAAAAGTAGCTGTGACTCTCCAGCCTTCCAACTATCTCCACACAAAAACTCACGCCAATACGTCATTGCATTTCGTCGTGAAAAAAGGACAAACAAACACACTTTCATATTTATAATATTAGTATGGATTAATACGATAAGACTGTATAATGAAGTAGTTAATAATTATTATATCTCTTAGTAAAACTATTATATGACTTTTGCTATGAGCAATACCTACAATCTACATATTATACTCGTATTCCACGTACACAATTAGGAATTGCTAGAAATGAAAAGGTTCTTTAAGAGCTTTATTTTATTATCTTTTGATATATTTTCGATTTCGGCAACGTCAACTTTGATACTGAAAATTTTGCTGAGTCCTCAAAAACTATACCTACTATGCCTAAGCAAAGTGCTGTCTTAGTCTTAGGTTGACTTTCCTAGAATAAATTTTAAAATACTATCCATTTATTTAACTGTGATACTTAGGATGTTCCTAATTACGAACCAACTGGCCCTTTCCTTGGTAATGACTATTTATCTCGGCCTTATTATTTTTGAAATCTGCACAAAACCACAACCACATTACAAATTAAATAAAGCATAGAGCTGTATAAAAAAGGCAGTCATGAGGACTGCCGAGAGAAGTTAATACGTAAAACTATAAACAAACAGTGGTTATTTTTGGATATTCAAATTAATTAAGTATTTGATCTTAAATTATTTGTTAATAAAAACTGCTTACATTTATCTGGTTTTGACATCTACCGGCACTCTGAGTGTTAGCGCTAACACGTCACGTGACCATGTCGATTACGACTTACGCTAATTTACTCCCCATCCAAAACCTAAAGAAGTTTTCACTTCAAAAATTAGAAAATTAGACAATCTCATTCAATAGAATCATAATAATACATTTGAATATTTTAAACGACAAAAGGAGGCCAGAAATAAAAAAGAATATCCTTCTAAATTAATAATTTATATAAGCTAAGACGTTGAGAGATAACAAAGAAACATTACTAATGTATACGAATTTTCGCTTTAGGCACTGTTATATTAAAGTATGAAAGGGAAATAAAATACTTATATTGTCACCTTAACTGTGCTAGAGTGGTATATAATATATGTGAAACTTTTATCACAGTGATGTGACGTCGTGATGTGATAAATAAATAACGAATTAAGTTAGTTAGTCTAAAGTAGTCAATAGAATTTAATTTTATGTTTCTATTCATATTACTTTATAATTTAGTATAATATAAATATATTGATATATTACAATTTTCTATATGTATATAAAAATACACCATAAATAAGGAGCGAGTCCTTAGAGCGAAAAAAGGTAAGTTAGGTCGACCATTTACTCTCGCACTTGCTGTAGCACTCTGAAAAACCTCGCCACAGTAATCTTAATTACATTGTGATCTCGTTACGTCCAACCCTAATTCATAATTAAATAGGGGCATGTCCGTACTTCAGTTATTTGTTACCTATTTTTATAATTTGTGATTGCGTTCGTTTTTTTCCATAAAAAATTTGAAAGTGCTCTTTGCAACCCCTTCTTCTTTGTCGCTCTGAATATTCATTTAGAATACATCAGTGGAATAGCTGAGTTGTTTTTAAGAATCTTTATTTTTTATTTACCCTATCTTTTGTCATTAGATATACCAGTTAGTACTATTACAATTTTATTGGTAAAAAATTGGTTTAAGCATTTTTTTAAATTTTACGTGTTGAGAAAGTTTACCAGCTTACAGGAAATAGTAAGAGGTAAGAGTATATGTATAACATGGCTAATCGTTACCCTGAAACGGGTCGTTAATGTCCAAATAAGGTAATTAATTACGTGTCTGTTTTTCCTCATTTCTGACGTTACCCTGTAAAAACATAAGAAAACCTTGCAAAGTGAAGATCAATCAAATCAGAGAATGCTGCTGAACGACTACTTAAGCATTTACATTTACGAGCTTGTCTAACGAAATTACGACTGTGGCCCTATAACACTGTCGTGCTTACTTAGGTTTAAATATATCACATACTTTACTTTATGCTAAGCCCTTAGGGCCTAAAGTTAGCCTAAGGCTTAGGAATTGAAAATATATTTTAATATTTACTACAGTAGTAACGTATAATGTTACGTTGAAAATAAAAATAATGTTGATGTTAGGGTAAAAACGTATTTATTCCAATTAGATACATATTATATATAAATATTTGGTTATATTAAATAAACTAGCATTGCCCGCGGCTCCGCCCGCAGTCAGGTGACGAACAACCAAATTCTTAGGTTTTACATATTAGTATACTCTTACATTGCAGTTTTTCTATTTTTTCTCAGAAATGAGACGTTTTACCGCTGTAAAATGTATTCTATATGTTGACCCAGATAACCAGCTATCACCATACCAAATTTCATCAAAATCCCTCTAGTGGTTTTTCTGTCACGCGGTAACAGACAGAACAAAATTCTAAAAACTATAGATTCGGCCTCAGTATCGATAATAATGTTTTTTTTTTTCAATAAGATTTTCCACGAAATATTTAATGTACAGATTTTATTATTTTATTATATATATAGGTAACAAAATTTTCTGACGATAATATGCTATAACAGATAAGAGCGACAAAAATGAATCTGTGTCTATTTTTGGTTTACTTATCGCGAAAATCTAACATTTCTTGTGAGGATAATAATGAATAATATAAACACATATTAAGCCGGATAGTATGTTTATTCATATTAATGAGTCGGTTTCATCAATGACGAATTCTTTTGCATTAATATATTAATGGACTGGTTACTTACTCTTGCTTCGCTCGGATGCGTCTGTCAGCGATTTTTGTATTTATAATATTATATACAGACAGCACCGCCATTTGGCGAGTTTTATTACTTAGAGTAGCCTATGTGCTACTGTAGAGATAGTCCATCTCTAGTTAGTGTGTACTTATGTATATTATTTATATAATTTAATGTCAAAATTTTAATGCGTAAAAAAATGTTTTTAAAGTTATACAAAAAGTAAATTATATAAATCACTGGCATATTGTTTGTATCGTCAATAACATTTTAAAGTATTAACTCATTAGTGGGATTAAAATATGACTGTCACTTCTAACGAATCGCATACAAAATATTTCATAATACGTATGTCTACTTTAATTTGATTACAGAAAAATATTTTTTTGAACTCGCCACTTATTTCTCAAGCAATAATTATTTAAGCATCCATAACTAATATATACCTATACGTATAACTATTGCCACACAACATTAGTCCTCCACGTCCCTAAAGAAATATTCTGCTTATTGATTAATAAGGCATAATATAAAGACCTTTTTCAATTTCTCTTGATGCTATGTGTTCATTGAAAGATTATTAATTACCAGGAAATCTCATTACAGTTCTGTGAAGGCTTATTTATTGACTTTTACATGCTATGTAAGTATAAATTGTTTCGGTATAGTTATTATCAAAGAACATAAATATCTTTATTAATATATAATAATTTATAGAATTATACCTAAAACAGATAACAATAAAATACAATTTTATTATATGTATAGATATATTAGAGAAACGACGTTCGAGTCACAAATCTGAATTCGATGCAGTGTTTTCGTAAAATGAAGAATCAATTAATATGGGAATGAAAAGATAGCCACAATGAACAATATGATAAATGCCATTCTATTACATAGAGTTGCTTTCATACCTATCAAATTGCCTTTTGTGTGTGATATATGGATGTACGATGTCACCAAGAAGTTGTGGTGATTGGAAAAAGTCTCCATGTTAGATATTTAAAATAATTAAATAGTTTATATGAAATAGTTCAATCATTTGTTTTATCTGTTAAAACCATAACATTAAATAAAAGAAATAAAAGTTTCAACAAATCTTGACTCCGTTACAACGTTAAAAGTTACGCTGGACATTGAACTACAATATTATCCGTGGCCAATTAAAAGTTTCGTGGAAGTTTGCATCCATTTTGTAATCTATTAATAAACCTGGTTAGCATTTAACATTTTAATGCACATAATATTTAAAGCATAAAATATTATAAGTTTAACCCTGTTGAAGTATAAACAATTATACTTATATAATGTTTTCTATAATCGATAGAAACTTAATATGTAAGTTTAGAAATAATATTTAGAGTTTTTAATAGTAATAAAAAGTACCTAGTAAAAGTAAGATCCAAGATGTTAAATATACGGTAATCTTAGTATTTTATTTATTCATTAACTTTTAATACCAACTTAGCAGGTAAAATTACATGAAAATGGTAATTTTGAAGTAGGATTCTATAATCTTAAGTACTGAGACCTCCGAGAATCTTTTAATATATAAAACTACCGTATTTAACCTTCGGGTGTACCGCAAGCAGCTTATCCATAAGCTCCCCAACTGGGTCGTACAAGTCTATGTTTGTCAACAGTCTTAATGCGGTGCTCACAATATATTTCAAAAAACTTTTAAATGTATGTATAAACTAAATAAATTTATACGTTTTAATTTTATACAGCAATATTAAATACTAGCAGTACCCGCGGCCTCGCCCGCGTTCAAACTTCAAATATAAACATCAGTTTTACAACAATGTATGGAAATCTGCCCGATTGGTTGACATTTTTGATTACTGCTCCGCCGCTCCCTTGAGTAGTAGCATTATGATAGCTTATAACCTTCTTCGATAAACGGGCTATCGAATTCAAAGAATTTTTCTAATCAGATTAGTAATTTCTGAGATTAACGCGTTCAAACAAACAAGCAAACAAACAAACAAACAAATAAACAAACAAACAAACAAACAAACAAACAAACAAACAAACAAACAAATAAACAAAATCTGTCTCTTTATAATATTAGTATAGATTTGAATTCTTTTATTTATTGAAAACTTATCGGTAGTACGATAAAGACGACTGACATAAATATCAGCTATTTATAATTAAAGTTATTTTATTTATAGACAACGAAGAGATGTATCAATGAACAAAACAAAGGTAGCCATCGGGAAAATTGAGTGAATTCTCCAAAATCTAATATCTTTTTTCATACAGAAAACCCAGTCAACGCTTAACATTTATAGATAAAATGTGACACCAAGCGGATGATTTAAAGTGTATGATGTGAAAATCGTTCTGCGAAGATTTTCTGACCCAACGATTGTAATGTCCTTCTTTACGTTTACGTACCAGTTGTTTTCTTTCGTGAGAACAGAAAATACAGAAATGTACGTTAAAGGTAGGTACGTGTCCCGCGATTTATTCCCTCCCTCTGCAGCTCAGTTTGGAAATATATATATTTTTTATTTGTTTACTTACGCAGATTTGGTTCTTTTGAAGTCGATTGTACAGATTCGTATTGTTAGAATACAAGATGATGTCTATTTATGTTTTCTTTTAGTTAGCGGCTTATTACTGTTACACGAAACTCTTCTGGGAATGTTTTTTTTAATCTGTATAAAATATCGAACATCTTAGAAAAAAGTACTTAAAGAATAATCTTAGTAAGCAGTATTTAGTATCATTATATTATTATCAATATTTCCACTTCTAACGATATTCTAACGAAATTCCTTCTTTACTTTAAGTACTTTTCCATTACTCAATTGTGAAAAGTCACCGTGCAGGCAACTCTTTTCACCTCAATAGAAACTGAAGTGTCATACAAAGCTACAATATATTGGAGGCCTCAGTTCGGGCCCGCCGCCGTAATCAAAAGGCTCTCGGGGGAACAATAGCGCCCACATCGGGTCGGGACCGATAAGCCTCGACAATTATACTACATCGACTTTTCAATTATCAACCGACTCTTCCCACAAACAATACTAGCTTTATTTATGTATATTAGAGCGGTCATTTTGAACGCCGTTTAAAAGCGTGTTCATATAAACATCATTCTACGTTAAACATGCAGAAAGTACTCTGAAATTAAAAAGATTTTGATGAACTTCCAAAACGTTTGCGCGTCTTGTTATTGCATTGTGACTATATTCAAAAAGTATTTAATTACTCGTTTTGCATGATACTGTAGTTTTATTTTATTTTATAAACGTTTAGTTATTATTTGATAACTTAATATTATTAAAATGACAAAGATTCCTTAACTACGTTGTATAGTTCAAGTTATGCAAAAATACAGTAAAAAGAATTTCAAATTCACACTACAAAACGTTTCTATTGTAATAGCTTTACACTTTGTGCTTTTCCTGTTGAAAGTTATCATTTTGTATTTTTCCTCAGGTGAAACTGGAACAAAATGTCGGCAAGCCGTCAAGGGTTATCCACATACGGAACATACCAAACGAAACGACGGAAGCTGAGATCATACAGTTGGGTCTGCCCTTCGGGCGGGTCACCAACGTGCTCGTTCTCAAAGGAAAAAATCAGGTAAGGACGCAAAATTATACCCAGCACTAATACTGCTGCGGGCTATATTGTTTTTCTTATATAAATGTTCATAGTAACAACAGTTACATATGAGATTTTCTTTGTTTCTTGTTTGGCTTAAAATACACAATTCGTATTCTTATTTTTACTGCTACAACATTTTCAGTTTATATGAAAACGTTAATAATCTGAACTAAATAATGGTACTTTATTTGAAAATTATGTAAGTATTAAGTAAACTATGATATGAGTTTATAATTGATTTTTCCCCATCGTTAGCCATTTTAGTATTATTAACCATGCAAACAACTGCAGTTTGTAGTTTCAAACTAACATTGGATAAAGTGCATATATAGGTCTTATTTCTTCTAGCTATAGTTAGCAAGTAGGATTATCTTGTGCATAAATATGAACAAATCGCTTAACTTCGACTGTATGTATACTTTATGGCCGAGGAAAGTTTTGACGACCACTTTGAATCGACTCGACTAGTTGTTGGCTGCTCTTGCAAGTAGATCGTTTAATTTGTAAAAGTAATAAACACTTAACTATATATTTATTATTAATGTATACACATATTTTAGTAACAATAGTTTTATTATATAATTATTGTAAAAAAAACTAAAAAAACCAAATATAAATAGCACAAGTTAGCGTAAAAAGGTAAGAGTAAATACAACGTAAACAAAAATCAGAACGGAAATAAAAAATAGAAACTTCAATATATAAAGTCGGCCATGTAACACTACTCTTCACAATAGTCGAAGCTTCGCCGGAAGCACAACAAGTGGGTGGCGCGGTCTCGTCCGCAAATAGGCCGCTAACCATTGTGGCACCGGCCTCCACCTATTTGTTTCCCGGTTTATATTACCTATATGAATCTACTGAAAAGCAGGTCACGCTTGCTCTAGTCTGCATATCGCTTCGCAATTGTTAATTTCAATTGTATATGTCCGCGTCGGTAACTGTACAAAGGTAGACCTAGAGCACTCTTACTTTGACGCCAGTGTTAGATGAGTAACACACCAGACATAAAAATATATTTTAAGTTTTCTTTCATAGGTACTGCTAACTAGTGACTGACCGTTGCTTTGCTCGGTAGTTTCTAGGTGCCTAACAATAATCTATTTGTTATTACAGTTCTATCTACATAGTACGGTACTAAATTTCATTTAAACCAGCTCTTCAACATTTAGGAGTTATAAATTTACACACATATGTACAAACTTTCGCAACTGTAATAGTAATCGGATTTATCTGTCTGTTTTAACAAAAAGCTTATACTGTAAAACTATGTTATCAGATCATTCAGTGTTAAAAGTTAAGTGTTAAGTCGCTTATAAAAAGATAGGTCCCATTGCTAATCCTTTCTCGTTTTAGAAATCGCCACGCAAGCTTTAAACTAAACCGATGAAACTTTCACAAAATTAAGCTCAGGATTAGTAGACATTAGTGAACTTAATACTATCTAAGCCGCAAATCTTTCAATCGACGTTCGGATTCAAAGATATTTTTATATTTATCTCATAACCCTTATTTAATTACTGTTATTTTTGTTAACTATTGTGTACAAATCAAAATCTAAATTATAATTATAAATGTAATGATTCAATTTTTACATTATCAATTATAACTTATTACAAAACAACATCTACTTACTTTATAATAAGAAAAAAAGCATAAACTAAATATATAGCTTATGTTTTAACTAAGATTCACTCACTCCATTAATATTGTTTAACGTTCCAAACTGAATGTAAAATATCGGCATTTTTTATCACAAAACTAAACATAATGTTAATTATATCAATTTGCTATAATAAAATGTCGATAGTCGGCGCATATCGCCCAAAGTAAATATTTGTTTAAGCTATTGGACCAAATGCGTATCTCTTGAGCCCAGATGCTGGGAAAACCTTTTTGCTTAAATGTTAACTTGTTCATATATAAATATAACAACAACATTGTAGTAAAGCAATTTATTTGTATAATAAATACATTTTTTTATTTAAATTAATTACAATTAAGAATAAAGACGTATTTTGTTTTCAATTTTCAAACTTCCCATTTAATATACTTCATTTTAAAGCTATGGGTTTTATGTTCTTTTTTACTTAATGTTTATACATTTTAATTTTTACTTTTAACCCTAAAAATATGCGAAAAGGGGAAAAATTATAATAAATTAAGCTGAATGCGAAATTCCATCAAAATTCTACTTAGCGGAATTCAAGGGGTGGCGACGATGAAAATAAATTTCAATTTGGGTTACGAATATGATGGCGCGCCACGTTAGTTAAATAATTGTTTTTCTTTCCTTGTTTTCGCAATATAATGTTTTTCCCAAACAATTAATACTCGAAAGAAATCTTTCAACATTTTATTATATATACCTGTACCACAATAAAAACAGTAGTATTTATGATATAACTTTCATATTGAATCAACTTAAATTGAAAATTATAAATAACCTGTAATAAAATATGTTTATTTTATATACAAAAATAAGACAATGAGAGTATTAGGTCTCAATTTGAAGTCTAAGAAAGTTATTCGATTAAGCTATCTAATCTTAAGAAAATAATTTTTGCACTTAGCTACGTAACTTCGGTTGTGTAATAAATATGTCAATAAAAAGTAGCCTATGCGGTAATTCAATTTATAAACTAATTCCAATTAGTTGAGTCCTTACAGTATGTTTATTTTTTTTTATTTATTTATTTTCATTCGGACACAGGTTCATAGTTTAATATATATAGTATGAAGAAGTAACAAACGTAAGTTGTTTTTGTTTAAGTATTATGACATGTCTAATAGTGATTTTTTTCTATTACATGTTAAAGCAAAATATATTTAGGTTATATTCGTATTAATAATAATCGCAGAGAGCTTGTTATTTGAAGCCCTTCGTTCGCATAGGCAGAGCGCGAAAAATAATCGCAAATTATAAAAGACTTCGAACATTAAGAACTCAAACCCTTAATGGTCCTCATCAATTGGACATAAAACTTTATAAATAGGTAACTATAAGATTTTGAAAGCTGACTAATATAGGAAGAACATGCATTTAAATATTATTATTTATATTATTAGTGTGGTGCTTGTAATCCCAAAGTAAATAGATAGGATTTTTATACGAAACTGAAATACGTTTAAGATGATATCCAGTTGTTTTTATTGCGACGCTTTACGCCATAAGAGCTTCGAAAGCACGTGCAACCCGGAATTTACGAGATGTTGCTGACAAATTAAAAATGAGTTAGTTTACAACCCAGAAATAAAATAATAAAAAAGAAATCTTATTACGTGCAGGCAGTAGGACAGACGTTGTGACAATGTTATCCCATCTAATAAATAGCCTGTATGACATCCGCCCCGTATATATGGTGGCGTGAAGAAAAACAATCTTTCTTCTAGTAAGAGGAACAAGTCGAATCCCTTTTTTTATGAACGGTCACAATCTCGCTTTTTTGTTATGAAATTTTCTTTATCTTTCCATTTAAGTTTTCACGGTGCAAGCACAATGAAATTTAAATACGCCTTTACCTTGCATTTTATATTTTACTTTTGCCACGACATTTCTAATATTATTTTGAACTTAAATCGCTTTTATATAAATACTTTGCCACAAAATATAAATGCTCATGTGATTTTTTAAAATCACTTATATGTAAGTAGTCCCTTCTCAATTAATCAATAATAAAGCTCTCGAATGCTGAACAGGCTTTCGATCCTTTGATGGTCCTGAAGAGAATGATGAAAAGTATCGTAGTTGATGGTAACCGAAGCTCTGAGAGTCCAGTTACAAAGGCGGCATCTGTTGAGAGGTGGGCAAACATTGATGTGAGTGGGTGCGGACAATCGCTTCCACTCTCGGTGATTAAAACGAAGAGCCGTTGACACTATTTTACGATCGAGCCTCGCGTGGCAGCTATGCTTCCATTAATTTGTTGCCCTCACTTTAACATTTCATCTGATTTATGAATCAATTCAATTTATAATATCAGAGGCAATTTTGTTAAGTACAATATTAAATATTATTGCAATATAATATTTAAATTGTTCGTATAGCTTACGTATATACTAAAAAGCTTTAGGATCTAATAATAAAACTAGCATTGCCCGCGGCACCGCCCGCGTTCAGATGGCCAAATACCAAATTCTTAGGTTTTACATATTAGTATACTCTTACATTGTAGTTTTGTATTTTTTCTCAGAAATGAGACATTTTCCCGCGGTAAAAAGTATCATATATGATGACCCGGATAACCAGCTATCACCATACCAAATTTCATCAAAACCCCTCCAGTGGTTTTTCTGTGATGTGGTAACAGACAGACAGACAGACAGACAAAAATTCTAAAAACTATAAATTCGGCCTCTTTATCGATAATAATGTCTATTTCAATTATTATATGTATAGATATTATATTAACGAATATGTCATGGTGACCGCATGCGTGCGTTAGATAGCATATCTTGATGTATAACATAACTAAGCCTAAATGTAGATAATTGTTTTAAATATGTATCCTAAAATTTTAAAACGTTCTAGAAAACGAGAAATTATAGGCTTATTGTTTATTCGCACTACTTTTCAGTTTAATCTAAACGATATACCTACATATTTTATCTTACTTCGTTTCCATATAATTATATATTATGCTTTCTCATTTCTCATGTACATTGTACATACATATATACTGTCAAGGAATCTGTTTAACAATGAAAAAATACCATTTTATGTAATTTACAGACCTAATTAGTTATTACTTAATAAATATCGTATAAGGCTAACTTACTCTATGTAAAGAAGTATATAGGTTAATGAACCAAAATAAAAATCTTATGCTAGTTTATGTACTTGCCAAGTTTCATTAAAATTGTTTAGGCGTCACGAGCTTACAAAAAAATCCACTCTCCCAAATATTAGCTACTAGCGGCTCACCCTCGCTTCGCTCGGGTTCGTCGCTAGGTACGTTTTAAATAGATATAAAAAGAAAAAATCTTTCTTTCTCACATTTTAATTATATGTTTTAATACTTACCTATTCCGGACTAAGAGAAATCCAAAAATTAAAATATCATAAAAATTGGAACGCGGTCGAACGGGATAAAAAGTATCCTATGTCCTTCTCCTGGCTCTAAACTACCTCCCTGCCAATTTTCAGCTAAATCGGTTCAGCCGTTCTTGAGTTATAAGCGAAGTAACTAACACGACTTTCTTTTATATATATAGATGAACAATTATTACCAGCTTATTATTTACATTATATATGAATTATTTGCATACTTCATAACTTTTCGTTTTGAAAAGTAAATAATAAATATGATTAAATTCTAGCGTAACTCACTTTTCACTACTACATATTTGTTTTTTAATTAGCAGCGGACAAATTCTATTTCATTTGCGGCTTACACAGGTTTATAACGGTGTATTTTGCACGTCGGTCGGCCATGTTCAAATGCCAAAAGCAGAAATCTGCGGTTGTGAATGGTGCGCACATGAAATAGGAAGCGGGTATACTAAATTTCCACTCTAAAATGATCGTGCAAATCATAATGCATTTAGAAAACGATGCACTACGCGGGGATCAGTCCTGTTGTTTGGTCACTGGGTTTATGTGGAGAGAGTTCGTCAAAGCCGATTAATTGCAGACCATGGTGCTACAGACACAACCTTGTTACCAGCACGTTGTGATAACATTGTTTAGAGATTTACCTGCGCATTCGCTAAATTTAGTCGTATATTCTACCATGTTACGAATATTTTGCAGGTTTACTTTGCATATACATATAAGTGCGCAAATTAGGGTATTATGTAGCATTTTTAATAAAAGTAAGTATAATATATGTTCGTTTAATCTGAATAGCAAGAACTTAACAATTTTACTAGATTAACAGATATAATAAAATTTTATCCAAAAATCTACAATAATTTCGTATCTTTAGTTAATAACGATTAGTTTAAATCTATATATCTAAAACAAAGTCGGATTAGTTACACAATTTAACAAAAGAATGGTTGGACAGATTTTTATGGTCTGTGATTTGTTGGATTTATCTCCGCTTCGAATAGCAGAATAATTACTAAAACATTGAAAAAAAAACACGAAATTTTTTTTTTACATAGTCAACGCTGGCTAATAATTATATATTTAAAACGTACCTAGGGACGCACCCGAGCAAACCGAGGGTAAGCCGCTAGTATTCCTATAATTAAACGACATACATCGTCACCTCGAATAAAATATGAAAGCGAGACCTCTCACTCGACATGTCATCTTTCATTCTCTCATATTTTGTTCCCGACTCCCAGTATTCGATTATATTAGGTGATAGTTGTCGTATAGACCCACTAGGTACTCAATTTATGTCCCTTCTTTGTATTCAGTGTACTTATCGGTTATTTATATCTTGAACGGGCTTGTCTACTATACAAAATTATTTCACTTAACAATATACATTTGTTTCTTATAAACGTACAATAATTATGTAGAATGTATATTTTAAATTAAATATTTACTCGGTTGTAAAAACAACTCTCTGTTATTAAGCAAATTATAAACATTGCTAGGAGCTAACTTTATAACGTTAAGTAATATTGTAGGAAATTTCGCTACAATCGTTTTGTCACTGTTTGATTTTATAAATTGATTGTTAAATATATCATAGGTTACTTAAGAGTATATGTATGTATTTAGGTTTTTTCAACTACCAACTGCTGGACACAAACCTCTCTTCAATACGAGGATTAGGCCATAGTCTACTACGCTGGTCAAGTACAAATTACAATTTACCAGACTTCATTTTATTTTTCAAACTTATTAGATTTTCTTAGACATGCAGGATTCCTTACGGTGTGTTTCTTTACCTTGAGGCAAATGGTAATCATATTGGAAACGATTCTCACATGAAAATAATAGAGGTTATGAGAACCAAGTTTTTAAGCTGCTTCACTCGGTTCCCAAGCATGCAGATTACCACCTGATTACCACTGCCTATTAACTTAAGAGTAGTAGTAATAGTAATAGTTTATAGGTGAAAAAATTTTTAGAATTGGTTTACATTTTCCAAGTAAATAACAACATACAAACAAAAAATATACTATAGACAAATTTCCAAAAAATTGCAACTTTATTTCTTAAGACAAGGAACTATTAAATCGACACAATATTTGCTATGTTTACTTTAGAATAAGTGTATAATACATTCAAATTGCATGTTTAAAAAATGATAAGCTAATTTCAATAATAAATATTTTTTCTTTATCGCAAGGCCTTCCTTGAGATGGCAGAGGAGATATCTGCGGTGGCGATGGTGGCGTACTTTGGCGGCTGCGTAGCGCAGTTGCGAGGACGCGCCGTCTATGTTCAATTCTCTAACCACAAAGAGCTCAAAACCGATCAAACCCACAGTAACGCGGTAAGTGCATAGTATAGTTTATACTAATGTTGTATATTTTGGGTATTTGCTATTATATAAGCATATTTAATTTGTTAGTATTTCTAACAAATTATACAATATAATTTATTCCTTCACAATTAATATGGTTATGTTATTGTATCCTCATCTAAAATCAAACGAAGCTTATTCAAATCGTATTGAGTTCTAACATTAAATCATTTAATTAGTGAAAGTCGAACTAGTTATTCATAATTACGTAGCGATAGTTCAATTAGCTTTGTTACAATTATAAGCGTATTATACTGCGGTATGCGATAGAACATTAAAGCCGTCGTTACTGATGGGCAAATTTAACCCCCCGTGGCCAGCAGTAAAACTATTAATATAATCTTTGCAAGGGGCATCAAGAGCCCACAATTTAGATAACGGTATTCAATAAACCCGCATACAACGTTGAAACCTTACGAGCTACGTTGTTCCGGTTTGATTGAGTTACGAAACTACTTCTCTTGTCTATCGATATCTGAACAGGGACCATTTGTCAATTTTGATTTTTCAAATCGGAATTGCTTCTAGTATAGATACAATAAGATACAATAAATAATATACAATATTACTTCAATTTTCATCGTTTAATAAAGCTAAAATGTATAGTGAAGGCAAAATATCAACATCAAAGAGCCCTACAATTTTAGTTGAATGAGCTAATTTATATTTTTTCATTTTAAACCCCTTTTGTAAGCCTTGACCTGGCGTAGATTGTACAAAATTACCGTCTCCTTTCAACGTCTCTCAGCACTAAAAATTACGCTTAAACCTTTTAGTATCTGTCGTCGCTTTCATACGCGGAATTCGTTCGACTTTCATTGCTTTACTGAAAAAGGTTTAATAATTTAAGAGTCGATAAGCTGTGAAACTGTAGGATTCATATTTTTACACAACTGGAAATGTGACATCATATAAATAAATTACGTAAAACGCGGTATTATAAACTGATTAAATATTTTCAACACGGTATTCTTTATTTTTTTTTAAAGAGAAAGCTTTAAAAATATTATTGGTAACATTATACTCAGGAGATGGGTCAATTATAAAATACTTAAATGATCAATTAAAAATCACGAGTCATGTTCAATACTCTTTAATATTAAATTATAATTATTATTAAATTATAATTTGCTGTCTGATAATCATAATACTGTCTTTGTATAAACAAGAGAAGAATCCGCCAAAAAAATTAGTTAGTAGTTGTAATTGACCTCCAGGTAAATTTCTAAGAAATTAATCAAATTTCTAAGAAATCTATTGTTAACTGACACGCCGGCGTGTCCGCGGTCGTGGAGGGATTAATACGATTATACTTTATTACATATCTTATCAACTTTATATTTTCAATATTCTTACTTTACTCAGATTAAGGAATAACATAAACAAAATGCCACAGAACTAAACACGAAGCCAAATAATGTTTGAAAATAATAGATGGCTTAGTATAAATATTAATAGAATATTCGTTACGTTGATAAGTAAATAAATAAAAATGTATATGCCGACATCGCCCGCAGAATAAGCTCGCTGAAGTGGAAGTTGACATGTCTCCAGACGTACTGATGGTTGATGGAGTCAAAACGTGTTAGAGTGTAGACTGGGCTTAGGCAAGCGTAGTGTAGGACATCCTGCAGCACGATGTACAAATGACCTAAGGAAGGTGGCTGGCAGTCGATGGATGTGGGCTGCCCGGGACCGGGATGTTTGGCACTCATTGCCTAGATTTTATCATATTAAGGAAAAAATATATTAAATAAACCAAAATTATAATATTTCTCTTTCAAGGGGAAGAGAACTAATGCTTAAAAATACAAAAGAATATAGTTTTTTTTTTATTATTTATATTTTCTTCTCAAAAATCAAGTGATCTTATTTATTAGTAATTGTTAAACTCGAAGACATACTCGTCTAATTATTATATTCAAGGTTTTCATTTTAAGGAAAATTGAAAAGCGTAACCATAAGTATCTAACTGAAATTGAAATATGAAATAATAGCTTACTTATCTAAATAATAAATATACTTTTATAAAATTGTAACAACGTAGCTAGGGAAGGAACAAATTGGCCTATACATACATATACGAGAAACACTTACGGAGATAAGAAGCTTTTCAACATCAAAGACAATACATTTATCAGATGTTAGTCAGAAATAATGTTCCATTGTATCATATTATAGTAATTGAAAAGTAGCTATTAGAAAAACAAAATTTCGTAATGAAGTATCTTTATTTACAGTAGGCTTTACCTTTGTAAAATACTTGTAGGTATACTAGATACTCGTATTAAGAAAATGAATATTTCAGTCTAATTTATGTGTGTAGGCAAATATTTTATTATTAACACACGAAAAGCTCTAAACACTAACTAGAACGCCTTGAAAATTGAATTATAATTTTAAAATATTTTAGGCCATATCAAAAAATATATCACAGACGCTGCCACTAAACATTAGTTATCACATTTCTAAAAATTCAAGTACTTAATCATTTACTTCATAAAAAGAAAGGACGGTATTCTTTTGTTATATGTATAAATGAATAAATTATAAAGATATTTAAATTTTGTATAGATATTGCAATACGAATAATAACGTTGTGTAAGCAATTATACGCGAGTTATGATTATAATCATCTCATTGTTTAATCATCAATAGTATAATAGTTGTTTGATCGGATTGTCAACAATGCAAACAAGCGTCTGAGTAAACACAATGGCTAATTAATATGATGATTAAACTGAAAATGGGATAGAACTAGGTGTCTATTATCTGTTTACTTAAATATCTCTACGCGTTTTGAGAAGTTACGATTAACTAATATTTGTCTGACAACTTAGAACAAATCTAAACGTGTCAAAGTGTTCATTACATATATATATATATATATATATATATATATATATATATATATATATATATATATATATATATATATATATATATATATATATATCTTTATATATATAATTCTTCTGTGACTGTGTATGTCACTGAACTTCTCTCAAACGTCTGGACCGATTTTAATGAAATTTTTTGTGCGTGTTCAAGGGGATCTGGGAATGGTTTAGATTCACAATTTGAATAATAATTTTCATCAAAAAATTATGAAAAAAGTTTGAAATTTTCAAATTAAAGACGTGTAGACAGGACAACGTCTGTCGGGTCCGCTAGTATATATATATATATATATATATATATATATATATATTGTGTATATTATATTAGATTTTTCATTAAATATTTATACAAAAATAATATATGTAAATGTAAAAATAATATATTATGCAGTATATGTATTAATTATTAAATATAAGGTTTCCATTATAAATGATTACATAAAATTTATTGTAATATCGAATATAATTTATTACAAATCTTCCGAGAGGATATTTTGATATTTTTTTTGTCAGTCCTATTTCCTGCAGTACTTAAAACGATACTTCATAATGATGTGATTCGTGCCCTGCGGGGAGCTCCTTAACATTATCAAGGACTTATTTTTCGTGACGATTTCAGGGAAAGATCTTTCATTATTATTTCACTTTTGACATTCTTCGGTAATGGATTTCAACTGTCTATGTTAAGTTAATATTTCTTTTAAACACGTTTCTTTCAAGATATATTTAACCAGATGCAGTTAAATATATATGTATAATATTCATCATGTTAAAAATTATACCTACTACAATGAGATCAACTATTATCGGAGAATTTATTAATTTTCCGAGTCAGACGTCACAAACCCCAAATATCTGAGTGTCTTGCGCTATTAAAACTTATAATGAGGGATTTGGCGAAACAGATAGACATGCCATTGTTACCTTAACACGTTTCAGAGGATTCGAATTGCTTAGCTAAAATTCGATAAATGATTTTATGTGATACATTACTACTTATTATTATATCGAGGATATAAATTCAAGAAATGTACATACCTATAATAAAATTGTAACTAAGTCGAATCTGTACATTAAATATTTTTTGGAAAATCTAATTGAAATAGATATTAGTATTGATACAGAGCCCGAATCTATAGTTTTTAGAATATTTATCTGTTTATCTGTCTGTCTGTCTGTTGCCACTTCACGAGAAAACCACTGGACAGATTTTGATGAAATTTCATATGACGATAGCTGATTATCCAGGTCAACATATAGGATACTTTTTACCGCGGAAAAATATATCATATCTGAGAAAAAATACAAAAACTGCATTGTAAGAGTATACTAATATGTAAAACCTAAGAATTTGGTTTTTGGTAATCTGAAGGCGGGTGGAGCCGCGGGCAATGCTAGTTTGATATAAGTTTATATACACACGATAAAATAATGTCACCCATATTTTATCCAGCATTAATAGCGCCAATGCAATTCCAAGATCGTGTAGTGAATGCACGGCTTTGATCAATCATGCGTCGCAAAAGGTTTTTGTGGTAGCTGAATAGAAGTCTCCAATGGCGGATGGAGTTATTTTGTCGCGTCTACACCGCCTCGACCGTCTGCCACTGGTCTCGCTGAAAGATTGTACGTCCTGAGAATAAGACCTTTTAAATAAGTCCAGAGTTTGCACTTTGAACGAGGCTATTGGAAAAATATTTTCGAGAAATGGCGATTTCAATTATTCGTGCCGTATTTTATAATATACGAAGATTTTTTGTCCTTTTTCCAATTATTATATTAACTTAAGAAAATCTTTCTTTATGCTCCTATTTTTAGACTTTTTTACTGTCTTTTTAAATAAAGTAACACATAAAAATTAACTACAATTTACTTATTGCGAGCGACACTAGCATAACAGTTTTTTTTTTAATTTTAAAAGTTATCTAAATTCTAATTATGTTACATGCTTTAAGTAAAAAAATATATATTAATTACATTTTTATAATTCCGCATCATTAAATGGCAAAAAATGAAGTATAAGTAGCAGGAAGGGAGAGTAAGAGAAAGTCAACGTGAATTTGTAGCGGAGCCTTTGGCGTCGACGGCAGGCTTACCGTGACATGGTTAAAGCCTTATTTTTGTGTCTGGCCTGCGCGCTTGTCAGCTTGTCGTCGGGCACAAAGCCATGGAAAATATAGGATCAAAGAGTGCTCGGCTTGTGCGATCATTATGTCCTTCTCAACACCGTACGTTTCATTTGCTTCATTCTTTTTGCACAACACTGATCGGGTTTAACGCTTCATGTTAAAATCGATTGACATATCGTTTGTAACTTTTAGAACCAGCTTTAACAAAGGCCTTTGTACAAGGCTTCAGTATCAGTTTGTCAATTACATTTTTAAACACCTTTATGGACAACAGTTGTTAAATTAATTTTTGTAAACAATTTTATATATCATCATTACTTAGTACAAAAATAGTTTTTCTTACTTTTGCAAAGTTGTATGTCTTTCCTAATATTATTTTATTTCATGTAGAAATGGGAAGGTCATCTTCCAGCTAGTACTATATTTGAACAAAGTAGTGGATTTCTCGACGATACAAAATAAGTTTATGGCGTCCTTTTGTTTGGTACGGTCAATGTTATCTCGTGGTCTAGGAACAGTCCAAGGTATACAAGAGATAACTCCTATTGCGTTCTTTTGTTATCCGACTTATGGAAGATAAGTGAGCATATTTATTATTACGTGACTGTTACCTATTTTTTTGGGAAAATTATGTTGAATTGTTATGACGTATACGATAAGCTTGTTTTGTAACATTTATTAAGGATTATTTTAAGGACAATAGAATGATAGTCGTAAAAAGTTATAGACAATAAATATATATTAAACATAAATAATTATTATGCGGAAAAAGAAGCTCGTATTGATATATTATTTACTAGCCATTTACCCTTGCTTCGCTCGGGTGCGTCTCTGGGTTTGTATGGTTTAGGAAAACATAAGTGAAAAACGTCCAGAGAAAAATCTTTTTTTTCGCCATGTACCTTTGTGAGCGTATACAAAATAACCCAACAGATTTTCATAACAATCGGGTCAATGGTTAGGAACGCATAGAAGGCAAACTTACAAATTTCCATTTTGTGTGTAATTTATATAGATAAATTAGAATTAAATTGGGAAATATGAACGGAATAATCGTTTTTTAACAAAGCCAAAGTCAGGAACCGTAATATTTTTTGTGTGCCGTAAATGTTATTAATATTAATACTATATATAATTTAGATAGATTATAATAATATATTCCCAAGGAGGGTTGACGTCAGGCAGGCGGCCGGTCGTAAAACTGTTGCCAAATCCTTTCAACAGTACAGAAGATGTACTGCGCCGACCCCAAGTGATTGGGAAATGGGCAGGGAGAAGATATCATTTAGATATACATATTTGTATTATATTAACAATATGCTGTAATTAATTAACATATTTCCTTTTTAGTCGGCTTCAGCACAAGCAGCTCTTCAAGCCGCACAAGCAATATCAAACAGCGCGGGCGCAGCGCTCGTCGCTGGCGCGGGCGCGGCTCTACAACCTGCGAATGGCGGCACTGAAATACAGGTATTCATAAGATACTAGTGACCTTAGCAGTGACCTGTGCCCTTCGCATTAATAATATTACGGAAATTTGAGAGAAACGGCAATTTTTTCCGACTTAATACAAAAATATAATTAAACCGGTAGCTTATTTTATAAATATGTTCATAAAATATTTTATAACATTGCTAGATGATCCTTCTTTCTATTGGTAACCATATGAAAATCGATACATTAGTTTCTGAGATTAACCTGAAAAAAGACACTCAATGTGGCGGAGGACTTTTTGTAATATATATCTAGTGATTAATAATTTATTTAGATTAATGTTTCAAGAAAATTTGTTTCTTCTTTTTACCCACGACGGAACAGAGACGGTATATGCGTTTTGGGCGAGAGGATGTTTGTTTGTGCAAATCCATGTTGCCATTTTTCTCCAAAACTACTAGCCCGATTTCTATGCAGCTTTTAACGCCTGAACTGGCATAATATTACCATTGTATTTTTTTTATTAAAAAGCAGATCAAGTACCGGTCGGTCATACGCCCCTAGCGTGAATCCGAATCATACTTACCCGGTATTATTTATTTAGTCACTTTATTAACAGGTCAACATCTGTGTACTTTGAAATTTGTTTTGTTGTTTTGCACTCTGTAGGGTTAAGAGTTGAATAAAATATTTACACGTGAGCAATATAGATTTTACAATGCATATATGTATATTTTGATTTAAGATGAATTTTTTACTTTTCTTAATTGAAATATTACACTTTAGAAACATATCTCATCAACTGTTAATCTAAATAAAAGTTATTTTGAGCTTTTATCGTTCTTGAGTACTTCTCAGGAAATATATTCAACTAATTTATCAATCATCAACGAGTTAGTTTAGTTCATACATACGAGTAGCAGACACACATTTATTAAATAAAAATGAATCACCGAAATATATGTACGCGCATAACTTCGGATCGATTGCAGCAAATTGGACAATTCTTTTTTTATGTGTTTGTTCTTATCAGGAAGTTTTGTACAAAAGGGAGTTAAAAGATAAAATAAATACTTAAATATATTTTTTTTTCAAATCTCATGATATGAAACGTGAGTAAGTAAAATAGTTTTTATGCCGGAAATCATCCCTTAAGGGGGTGAGAATGGGTATGAAGTTTGTATGGGGAAGCAAACTAGGGACGAACCCGAGCGAAGCGAGGGTGAATCGCTAGTCTATATATAATTACTAAATTCACTGCCCCTTAAATTATCATCATATAACATTAGGTAGCCACAAATACAATCTAATAAAGCCTTACACAGTTTCAATTATAGGTTTATTCCATTAAAAAGAAATTATTACGGCCATTCGTTGCGTGAGCTCAAATTTCCGAAACTTTATATGAAACACTGTACCGAAATAAACTCAAAATGATTTTGCTTCTTAATATACCATAATAATGATCTGCCATACACTTGAGGTATTAAATCGTACAATTAACGTTGCCTTTGGGTGACGTAAAGCAAAGAAGATTATCTATTTACCACTAAACCACAGCAAAGCTGATTACCTAAGACCATCTTAAATATTAGAAGCTCGTCCCGTAAATCAGATTTTGAATCCAGTGGGGAATACGTAAGATATAGATTGATAGACTTATGAAGCGCATGCAACGAGTGTTTATTATGCAAACTAACGTATTCTACCGATCTTGCTAACTACTTGCCAACAAGGTGTTAATAATCGGATTTAAGCTTCTTTACTTTGTAAAGTTTTTAGACTTACTATGTTACATACATATGAATCTATATATCACGTACTGTTATTAAAAACAAACACTTATAATGAAACCTTGAATATTTTTTTTTTATATTTTGCATTAATATCTATACATATAATAAAATTGTAACCAAGCAGAATCTGTACATCACATATTTTTTGGAAAATCTTATTGAAATAAACATTATTATAGATACAGAGGCCGAATCTATAGTTTTTAGAATTTTGTCTGTCTGTCTGTATGTCTGTTACCGCATCACAGAAAAACCAGTGGAGGGATTTTGATGAAATTTAGTATGGTGATAGCTGGTTATCTGGGTTAACATATAGGATACTTTTTACCGCGGGAAAATATCTCAATTCTGAAAAAAATACAAAAACTGCATTGTAAAAGTATACTAATATGTAAAACCTGAGAATTTGGTTTTTGGTCTTCTGAACGCGGGCAATGCTAGCCTATCTATATAAGGCATAAAAATAACTTAAAATGTTTGTTTGTTGCAGGGTGGTCCAAACACAGTGCTTCGCGTGATAATAGAGCACATGCTCTATCCAATAGTACTTGACGTTCTGTATTCGATTTTCCAACGCTACGGGAAAGTGCTCAAGATTGTAACCTTCACTAAAAATAGTAAGTGTTATTTTTAGATCCTCAGTAAATATTATTATTTAAATATTTTATTAGAGGCAGTGGTAGCCCAGTGGTAACGCGCTTGCTTGAGAAACCGAGTGAAGCGGGTTCAAATCCCGGGTCTCGCACCTCTGATATTTTCATGTGCGAATCATTTCTAACATAATTACCATGGAATTAAATGGTGTTGTGTGTTAATGTCCCAACATATTTATTATTATTTATTTATTATTAACACGCTTTTAATAGCTTTAAAGCATGCTAAATAATATTTATTAGTCTATGGTCAACGTTATTTACAGTTATATTTTGAACGAATACATTTTTTAAATAGAACTAGGATATATACATATATGTATATATCCTAGTTCTATCCTATCAATCATAGGTGTACATTTTACGTATCGCTCTTCATTAGTGTTCTGCGTACAATTTAGCGATATTAAATATTGTTTACTTTTAGTAATTTATACGAGTTTTTGATTGAATTTCCGTTAATTAATACTGGATTACACACAGAGTAATACGCATCGCCTCATTAAGTCTCACTTGATTGCAAAACATGTTACGATATTCGATATACGGCTATTTCATTTATTGTATTACACATTGTTTATAATTTGTTAATGCAAATTAATAAATTTACCAATTTTTTAATTAATAAAAAATATAAAATTCCGTATATTGCCATCTATTTACGTATAACACTCGCTATTTTTAATTTTCAAAATATATAAATATATATTATATTCAAAATATATATTTTTTGAATATATATATATATATATATATATATATATATATATATAGTTTAATAATTTCGGCTCTCCAACTGCCGACTGCTGGAATAAGGAATAAGCATTTACTCGTACAGGGAACGAGCATAAATGAAATATATTAATAATCGAACTGGACATTTCAAATTATATATGATCTAGCGCGTAATAGTGATATACCAAACATAACTCAGGGTAGAAATCCAAGGGCACAACCCGTTTAAAATTTAAATCGTACCCTCATGCATATCCTAAATAAATCCGGCTGGCAGGTTTGTAGCTACATATTTGATAAGCTTTGCCCACGGCGGCGGTGTGGCGAACTGTATACTGCTCACTTTCAGTTCAATTATAAACTTCGTTAATACCTAATCAGGCTTGTTTTAAACTACGGCAGTCCCTTCCTTGTAACAATACCCTAAATCTTAAGACCGATTTCATAAATTAAATAATAGCTTCAAATATAATAATAATAGGCTAAACTATATTACGTATTCATAAACGATTTACCTTCAAATAAAAATCTGATGACAAAGTAATACATTATTTCATTCTTTGTAGACTTCAATTTTAGACCCTCGTCAAATAACTTAATATAAAAATACTTTATAGAGCTTTTCGTTTATTACTTTTATGAGTATCGCTGATGTCAAAGAATTAACAAACTTACTTCAAACATGAAAATAGTAAAAACTTCGGTGAAATTTAGATATTTTGTATATTGACTTATAACTTATAAGTCGTTACAAACAGATACTTAAAGAACTTTAATTGTCCATATTTTTCATATAAGTTTACATTTATTTATTTAATTACGTGAAATAAAGTGAGTGATGTTCTCCTAGCCGATTCCGGCCACGGCGGCCAATCTCAATGAGATTAGCCAACTGCGCAGGAGATATTATAGTGCTCAAGTGTACGCGCAGACACAACGTGCACTCTCTATTCCTATCACTCTCATACTCCGGTGGGACGACCACTCGACACGACCGGTGAGAGTTAAGGCGCAGGACCGACGGCTTTACGTGCTCTCCGAGGCACGGGGGTGAAACACCGCCAACTTCCTAACTCCGGGCTGTTACTGAGACTTACTATACAGGAAGACTCAATAATTAAACTTGGCCCGACCCGGGACTCGAACCCAGGACCTCCGGGTGTGCAGCCGTACATGCTAGCCACTACACCACCGAGGCAGTTAAAAATACTTGTTTATTTAAACATAGTTAACAATAATACTATCGTAATCTATACATATAATAAAATTATAACTAAGCCAAATCTGTAGATTAAATATTTTTTGGAAAATCTTACTGTAATAGACATTATTATCGATATAGAAGCCGAATCTATAGTTTTTAGAATTTTTGTCTGTCTGTCTGTCTGTTACCGCATCACGAGAAAACCACTGGATAGATTTTGATGAAATTTTGTATGGTTGTAGCTGGTTATCCGGGTCAACATATAGGATACTTTTTACCGCGGGAAAATATCTCATTTCTGAGAAAAAATACAAAAACTGCATTATAAGAGTATATTACTATATAAAACCTAAGAATTTGATTTTTGGTCATCTGAACGCGGGCGAAGCCGCGGGCAATGCTAGTTGTGTAATAATTGCAGAGATAAATCAAATTTTAAAGCTTACTCTCAATCCAATTTCAGCCAATGTCAGGCAGATAAAGCTTAATAAGCAAGGTAAAGCTTTAATTAAAATGATTTGATTCTCTTTTTAAAGTTCATAATTCGTCGGTATCGCGACGGAACCTCTAACGTCCTGTTTCCAATTTCCTAACGCCGCCGCAAACAACCCTTGCAACCTCCTAACAAACTGTTTGTTTTTTACAGCATTCATCATTGTCTAATTCTAAAAGCTTTTGTCTTTGCCCGTTCACCGTTTAGTTCCCAGTGTCCCATTTGCCTTCAAGTATTTAAAGTGCACTACCATTAAAATAATTCATATTCATTTAACGTCTCATAGTAGTTTCTTTATTTATACATGTGGGACAGTACTGTGAGAGTGTGTAATATTGTTTATATGCCATTACTCTTTCATGATAGAAGTTTTATTTTAACCAATATTACAAACTGCAAGCGATAGTAAAGTCTGAACCTGTCATGGGATTTTACTTGGTACGGTAGACAAATATACCGAATTTACTCTATATAAAGTCGAATATGTAGCAGCCGTACTAGATCGTAGATCCGAAACGAATAAATCCCTACTTCAATTATCCTGTCTCGTGGGGAGCAAATACAGCACATATTTCGTATACATTTCACTTTCAATGCCCTACAACACGTAACATACCTGGCTAAAGTTAAGTAACTTATAATGTCTCGGTGAGTGAGATTTAATGGAATCATATATTTTTCTACTTTTTCTTTTGACATATTTTTCATATTACTAACATTGAATCATCCTTATATTATGTGGACATATTTTTTGTTTGAATATACGTAAACTAAGTTAGGTAATACAATAAACTGAGTTGATTTGTATTGATGGTACAAATATATTATATTTTTTTCTATTGTAACATGTTGCTTCTTTATTTTTTCTTTTTAATATAAATAATTTGAAAATCTTATCACAAAACAATAAAGTGGCATTTTGAGATATTCAATATTTCTCTCGTGTTTGTGTTTTCGTATTCAGCACGACCACCGAAAATGCTTTATAACTTTAACCACTTAGGAGTTGTCATCAATTTTGGATTCATGTTGTTTCTCCTTGTTACTTTCATAAGTTTTGCGAGTTAATCTAATGAATATTCTCTAAGTTTTTATCATATTACTACTAATAAAGCCGACGAAGTTCAAAATTTCCAGCCAGTTTATCGAGCGTTTTGTCCGTGTTGATTTATTTAATTGCTCGCATAATATATTTGCATTTAATTACAAAATTTTGTGGAGGCATAAAATAATCATGATTTTATAATCAACGCTCTCATTACGCGAGTTGCATGAACCTACGTTGTTAATATTGCAGCACACGTCATAACGGCTTATACCAAACATTGAGATCGTAGAATCAGTCGAATGAAATCCTTAATTACGGGAATCCTACAACATAGACGCATCTACCGCAAACAGAGGACGCATAATAATTGTACCGGTCTGTTACACCTTAATAAAGCCAATCGAGGGTGGGGGAGGTGCGGGGTGGGATTACCGCGATCTTCATTGAGATTTGTTCTGGGATTAGAAGCGTGTGATGGCTTACGCTTTTCTTATATCATATACCTATTCAGTTTGTTTTGCTAATAATAATAATTCGAAAAATTCATTTAGAAACAGTCGATAGAACATTTGCAAAATTTTACACTAAAGATTTGAAGCTTAAAATACATACACTAGTATATTCAAACCGTAATTTCAAGGGTTTCCTGTAAAATCGCAGTTTGCGAGTTCTTATATTATTACTCTTTGCATTTCAACGTCGCGAGATGAAAAGACGCCTAAATTGCGAGTCAGAATGCATTCAAGTTTGACATAGCACTCTAGGAGTAAAGACGAGATTTAAGATATCATATTATATTATAATCGGTTGGTCGACGAAGGCGAGACCTTGCTTAAATTTACATACCGAAAGAAACGGGGCGTGTCTACCTCTTGGCTTTTCTACAAAATACGGATTATGGAATTTTCAATTTAAAACTGTACCACAATCTTGTGTTTGCTTTTAAATACTCTGTAAAGTAATTACTGTTCGACTTGAATGTTTAATTAAATATGTAACATCGTATAAGTATTGATTGGAGTCATTTAAATTTCTTGTGCACAATCGGAGCAAGCATCGTTATCGAATTAGCTCTCGAATATTTCAACTCGAATAAATAAATTCGAATAAAGGGTAACGGGGCGAAGTTGTTTTAAAAACTTCCGCCCCGGCTGTCGTTAACTATGTTTGAATTTTTGTCGCACAAATTTTATATTATACTGAAATTTTCAGATAAATTTAATTTTTTATCTATAAAAGCCTTTATAAAATTTAAAAGACATAAAATAAATATTTGTATTAAGTTAATGACTACAAAAATGATTAAATTATATTAATATTTTGGAAATAAAAAACGATTCTATAAAATTATATAGAGCTATATTATTAACGTGCTCACAAATGTATTAATTATTAGAGTATTATATCTTTATATATATAATTCTTCTGTGAGTGTGTATGTCACTGAACTTCTCTCAAACGACTGGACCGATTTTGATGAAATTTTTGTGTGTGTTCAAGGGGATCTGGGAATGGTTTAGATTCACAATTTGAATAATAATTATTCCATTAGCTATACAGCAATTTTTTGGTGTAAGTTAAGACCATGGACAAAACTATATTGCATGCATTCCATCTGTAAGATATAGCAAATTTTAAACAGTGTTAATAAACAAACTGACTGAAAATGCAAATCGATATAGTCAACGCCATCTAAGGACACTCAAAACCAACTAATTAAACTAATGGCTGGTTTTTCAATTATCAGTTAAATTTTACAGGCGGTGGTGTTAAATTTTAGACCTTTTTTTATTTATTAATTATTATTTATTTTAAAGATTAAAGGGTTTTGTATATAAAACTTATTTACTTTGTATTGAATACATGAACTAGGCGTCACCGGTCCGCTTTTTTGGGAGTACGTCAATGCTTCTTTTGGTCTTCAGAGACCATAATGATGTACCTATATTTAGATTTTTCGCATATAAATTAAATATTTAGGTTCAGTGAAAAAAGAAAGTATTTTTCTATTGGCGGGAAAAATATTATGATATATTTATGACAGATAATATTTATGAAAAAAATTGGTGAAGAATATTGTATGGAATACAAAAAATTAATAGCCTAAAACTATCTACCGATTTGTTCAGTAGTTTTTACGTGATGGCGTGACAAAGGCAAGGCCGCTTTCATTATATATAGATTAGAGTAATATTTGCTTTATATGATTAAAAACTAATAAAAACCTAATTATTTTAACGTTTATATTAAAATAATATCGTGAAAGAGATGAGACGAAATTTCAAATACGTCGTCTGTCTATAGGACAATTCCTTTACAATTTTATTCATCTCATTCTCAAGCTAATTACATGAAACTCCAATTTGCGGGTGGCTTTTTATACGTTCCAATTTGACGTCCTAAATGGAGGGCCTAAAGAAAATATGAGCCTTAAAGAGCATTTAACTATGTATGAGGAGACAGCGCGTTACTTTTCATTTGCGCCGACATTCTCTGGGTGAGTTTGAGTGGCTCTATATTCTATATTTTATAGCTTCGGGAAATTGTTTGGGAAAAGGAAAAGCCGTTTTTATTAATAAAGTATGTTATTTTTCGAACTTCGTTCTCTGTATTGTTAAAAGATAATCCATTTGAATTATTCGATATATTTTACTTTTGTTTTGGGTGTTCTAATTTTTCTATAAATATTTTGTTGGTTTATATAAATTAAAAAGTTTTTAGTAAGTTAATCAAATGAACAATCGGTATTTAAGATATCTAATCATTAAATCAGTAAGTCACATAATACTATAAGTTCGGGCTATTCTTCGGGCTATTTTTGTTTTGCTTGATAGATAATAGATGTCGTTGATTTGCAAACTAACGAATGTTAAATATCGTTAAATTCTTTTTGTATTCGAATAAAAAAAATCTGTGATTTTAACAATTTTTAATGGTGACAAACAATTTTTAAAAAGTAAAAGTGCCATTTCCATAACCAGTAAAATTACGCATGATTTACGTGCGTGTTATTTCTTTTTCCTTCACTTAGAATATTTTTCAAAACAATAATTGTACCCTTTTGAGATGTAATTTTTTATCTCTTGCTAATTTAACACAACTCTAATAACAAATCCATATATCGTCCCCTTTCTGTGTAAACCTCGTAACTCCATTTTTTTCGAAATTGAGATTTTTAGCTAAAATCACTCCTTAGCACTCTTGTAACGTAAAACAAAACATGCAATGTTCATAATGTTGATAGATTTTTTTTTAGAGGCTTTTGATTTTTCTCGTATCTACATGTTCGAATTCAAAAACCTCGTATCTACCGTAAGTATCGCTGAAAACGTTAAGATGGCGTTGTTGTCTTATTACTGAATGTTTGTAAACATGTTCACACTTAAGTTGACTGTATTTTGTTGATTGACATTTATTTTTTATTCATATGAATACATATAAAATTATTAAAATTTGGTAAAATTTGAGACAACTATTTATCAGAAATATTTAACTGTTGGTCATACACAAATGGAGTGCGACTCTGTTCATTCATCTATTGAAAGAAAAAAGAAAAACAAGGAACTCTACGTGCCAGCAGATTTTGTTCGCATCATCAAAGAAGCTAGAATGAATCCAGAGCCATATAAAGTTATTTATGTTGATCACACATTTTTTAAGGATTTTTCTAAAATAAATTTTTACAAATCGATAAGACCCGGTTCAAAAACAGGAGATCCACAAGTTACTGATTTAAAATGTCTTAAATATGATTCAACTGGGCTGTATTATAAACTCGATTACCAGAACGATTGGACCTTATTACCTCAAAAAAAAATCTAGAATAAATGTAAATCGAAAAAACATTATCACTCCGTTATATAAAAAACCGATTTCTATTACATCAAGAAAATTCAAAGATTTGCAAAGTTTGAAAAGATTGCTACCCCAAGATTATCATAATTTCTATGATCAATTAAAAGTCGAATCTACTGTAGAAGAATAAGTTTAAAAAATTGTAAAGTTGATCCTTACTTCTTAGTTCTAGTTATTGTTCAAGTTATTTCTTATTACTTATTTTTCAGATTATCCTGCTGTTAATTTGTACATTATTCAATAAATTGTAAACATATTTGATAAAAATAATTAAATCATATTATAAATAGTAATCATATGATTTATAACACATTAAATCAAAATCAAATGAATTTGTTTTAATTAATAAATATAAAATAATAATGAATTGAATGTGAAAGCCTTGCATAACAAAAATTTTCGCCAATGATCTTATAGAAAAAAAAAATTAATTTCAAAACCTCGTATCTGCAAAAAACTTACCAGGGTATTTGATGAAAAAACTCGTATCTACGTTAAATTGATAATAACAACAAGGTATCGATGCAGATAGCAAAAATGATGTTTAATTATTTTAAGATGATAAATAAAGAGTATAAATTTTAAATTAGTTATAACTTTTTATGAAAATTAAGTAACTCTAAACGTTTTTATCGATTTACTGAAAATTAAGATTTTGTAGATACGAGGTTTACACAGAAACGGGACGATATGTAACGTCATCTATTGACATTTTTTGGAACTAATTTTTCTTTGTACGCATTAAGGCGCATTAACATCATCTTGTATCACTGTCTGGTTCAAAATTTATTAAGAGTAAGAAATAGTTTGATAAACAACATTAATTTAACATAACCAAAATGTTCTAAACTTTCACGTATCGAGTAAGTAAACGTATCAATTTATGCTCCTCAAGTTCACGAAGGAAGCAAAATTACATAAAACTTGTTTCGCATATTTACTCTAGAGTGTTGTGATAAAATAGCTGTGGTGCACCTGAGACGGAACTCGACAAACTCTTGAAAAGTGGGATCTAATAACGCACGATGGGCGGCAATTTCACCTTTGAACGCGTCACTAGCTACTTAAGATTTTATACTTCAGGTGGTGTTTAATTACATCTTAATCTTCAAAACTAATCCATTGTGCACATTGTATTGTACGATAGTAACATATTTAAACTTTAAATGTATTTAAAGCGATATAATATTTTATTTATATTATACATACATATAAATGAACTAAATACCATTTTTTTTTTAATTTTCAACTATTCACTAATTATGTGTCCATATAACGTACATAATAAAAAAAAATTGAGTACAACTTTTATATAAACAATTTTAATATTGAAGAAATTCTTTTACAGATTCATTTCAAGCCCTAATCCAGTACCCAGACACCGGGTCAGCGCAAATGGCAAAAACGGTGAGTAGCGAATACTTTTTTGTTTTTATTTAACCGTTTGTAAAGTAAAGCTATAAAACAAAGTTCTTATTGCCGTACGTTTCATTCGCTTTAATGACTCGCTTTCGAACTATCTAGAAATGAAGTGACTAAGTCTTATCTTCTCCGATTGCGTACTCGCTACTATACTAAGACTTTCATATTGATACTTGTTCTTAGTTTTGTCAGGAACTTATGTTCTAATTGCATTATCATATCTATATTTTATAGAAAAAATATATATGAAATATGATCTTTCGTCTGTCATTTGTAATGAAACACTATTCGCGTAATTTATCGCATTCCTAAAAGAAAATAAGTAATTTATTTACCAATAATGTTTTTTAATTGTTTGGAGAATTAATTAATAGTATGCATTAACAAAATTATAAATTCAATTTTTCTACATATAAAATAACAACATAACTAATAACATACTTATTATCAAAGGAAAACTCGCCACCGGCCTTGTACGACGCGACAATAGTCCGCGAGTGGGGCATCATTTTTCTCAGCTCAACTTTTCCCATTCGCTATTCATTTGCGTTAGAAGTTAAGCGTACTGCCGCCTACTGCAGCGACTGTTTTAACTTTATTTCTGATGCAGCGTTCAGGGCAAATTAAATTTCGTTTTGCGGCTTCCGCAAGCTCGCATTGCTAGCATAATAATTATTGAGCTTTATTTTTCATTCCCCCAATTGTTATGAATCGCTGTAGATAACTTTGCAGTCGATAGATTTGTTATTCGACTTTTTTGTTTTTTAGTAAAATATGTTGTTTTAAAAATCCACTTAATTAAAACATCTGTACGACTCTTACAGAAATTGGTATTTATTGCTAACGCCAATAGCCTTTTTAATATTCTATATTGATATAAATGTTTGCTTTTTTAAATGCGAGCACTTTTTATAATAAACAATAAAAATACACAGGTAGTAATGATACCCATAAAATATGACCCCTCTAGGTAAAATTCTATGAAATCTATTGTTAATTGTAACGCCAGCGTGTCCGTGGTCGTGGATGGAATAAACTGTGATAACTTTTTACAGGACATTATGTATATATTACTCTTTATTGCACCTAAAAATAAATACAGTAATTAAAATACAATTTTTGTTTACAAAGATGAACTTATCTCTAGGCGATATCTCTAGCCAATCTATAGTAATGAGAAATAGTGTTATAAAGCAGGCTAAAATCGTGCAGTTGTAGTCATATAAATAATATATACATACTCAAATAAAAAAAACCAATTAAATATTATATATAATACTATGTATTTATATGAAATTAACAAATATATCTAAAGTAACAACTTATAATTTTCAACTCATAACGCAGGCAACAAATTAATACTCCCAGGCGGGGAATCCCTAGGAAAACTGAGATATCACCGTAAAGCCGAGTGGTGAAAACTTAGCAATGCTAAGTCCTACTCGAGTATGATTGGAGTTCCACGCAGTTGAGGGCATATAAGCGTCACTATTAATTACATTTAGTTTAGAGATTTATTTTTGGCGCACTTATTGCCATATCGCTTCCAAATGCAAGATTAATGAACCAATAAGAACTAGGATCGAATACAGTTAAGTAGGTGCACTAGTATATATGGTACGTATTATATATAGCAAAAAGGAGCTCTTCCGTTGGTTTGTGGTGTGAACTCTATGCAATAAAGAATTACAAACAATAATAACAACTTATAACAATTACTAATATAATTATAGATTCCATATAATGAATACCAACAGTCATTAGAAATGTGATTTCGACTCCATTATTAATACTTACAAATTAAATTCATCAAGATAATAATGATATATCCATTATAAAGATCATAGCGTAAATAAAAAATTAATAATATCATATTTAAATAAATATCGCAAATTTTCACTGCTTTAAGGCGGAAAATTCTTTAGGTGCGTTTAACTTAACGTCATGCGAGTTTGTTGCTCGGGGACCGGACTGGTCGCGTATTTCTTAAAATGAAATTGAAACGTCCCGCAAGGTAAGTGGCAGTAGGAGTAAGAGGTACAAAGTGAAGTGAAGCCGGATAGTGCTCCAAGCACAAAGGGCACAGTCGGATGTTGGAGCACTGAAATCCCCCGATCCCCGACTCTATGATCCTTGACATAAATCTCTAACCTCCCCATCAAATCTTTTCAGAAGGCGGCTTATGCGCGCAGACACGAAATGTAAGCTTTTAATGTGCTCAATTCTGGTACTGACATATGCTGTATTGCGTTTTGCGAGTAAATATGCCCGTGAAGAGTCCTTTCAATTTTAATTCTATATTATAATTTAGGTCTTATTATCATAGATATCCTCATTTTTTTATTTCGAAGTTTTCTTGCCAATGTATAATAACATATTTAAAAAAAAACGTATTAAAAGTCTCATATATCCGGCTGTTCAAAGGAAAAACGTACGAAGTTATAATTTTTGTTTACTTCGGCTTGTAAAATAAAACACAACTTTTGAAGAAATATGCTAGAAGTAATAAAATAATTTTATCGACAAGTCGAATATTCCAATTGAAAATATACGTAGTGTTTATTCAGAGGCGCTATTTATTTTGTGAAAATATAAATGGTAGTGTATTTCTAATCAAAGTCACAGTACTCCATCAATACATCGTGATTGATAGCAATGTGATTCATTCGAGTTGCGGACCGCCTCTGTTCTAATTCCCCCATCCATAACCACAGCGACAACTGTCGGTGGCGATCACTCATTTCAACACTACCTTCTAAAAATACATATTTTGAGTGGTCCATTTTTATAATGATTAATGAATTCTATATTTAGCTTAACTAACTAAATAATTTTTCTTTACAATTTATTTAGTTTTGGCAAAACTAAGTTACATATTTAAGCATTTTCTTACGAGTATATCTGATAATACAATTTTCATTTCAATTATTATCAAGTTTAATTATTATCTGAAATATTTATGTAACAATTCAGCCTTTTAAAGTTCCACTACAATAAGTTTAACCTATAGTCTATAATGCTGTTTAACTTAAATATAAAATTATCAATTCTTGAATATTTATACATTTTATTTCGTGTATATCACAAACAACTCAAACTCAACTAAAAAAAGGCAGCGGTAGCCCAGTGGTAACGCGCTCGCTTGAGAAACCGAGTGAAGCGGGTTCAAATCCCGGGTCTCGCACCTCTGATATTTTCATGTGCGAATCATTTCTAACATGATTACCACTTGCCTTACGGTGAAGGAAAACATCGTGAGGAAACCTGCATGTCTGAGAGAACTTAGCAAGTTTTCTAAAGACATGTGAAGTCCGCCAACCCGCACTTGGCCAGCGTGGTGGACTATGGTCTGATTCCCCTCGTACTGAAGGGAGGCCCGTGCCCAGCAGTGGGACGATAAAAAGGGCTGAATACACAAACAACTCTAAGGATTTGGATCAAATTTTGTACTAATATAAGGTTTTGCTCTTTAAATTTATCTATATAGGCGTCTTTTCTAAGAAAACGATTTTTTTTCGAAAATGACAAGATTTTACAAAAGAAACGCCGAGCTATGCTCGGTCACCCTGTTTTATTGTTAACTACTCGTAGCAATTTATCTTAGTAAGTTTATCCTAGGTACCTTATATGTTACTTCAGGTTATAGTCTATACTAATACTAATTTACTAATATTTATCTAAATCCATCCTATCTTTTCAGCCTAAAGGAGAAAAAACATACACACACGTTCAAAGTTTCACATTCATAATAGCAGTCCAATTTATTGTTCTCACGTTGTATGAAACTTTTAAAATAAAATACATTATTTCTGAAAGATCAACGGTCTGATATACTTTTTTTGTTATGGCGCAACATTAATATAAAACCCACGGCAACGTTTACAGGTTGAAGGCGTTCGGTTTTTGTTTACATTTTAAAATTGCACTTTGCACGACGACCGCGACTAAGCGGGGCTTTTCTGTCAGCACAGGGACATATTCAAACAATGTATCTGTCGAAAGTGTGATACTGCGCATTGTGGTTTCTTTGACAAATTGTGCAGTTAATATTAAATGAAATATATATTTTGTTATACTTGCGAGAGTAACTTTAACAATAAATTGCTGGTGTAATATGATATAGTAGGAAATAATTCTCTTAGTATCATTACTTTGATTACTGATTTTATATGAAAATTCCCATACATTTCAAAATATCCCATACCTCTAAATCTGAAAGATGGTACACATATGTATTTCGACGTGGTAATTACGAATATGTTAATTTGAAAGTATTTTTTTCTAGATTTGATCTTGAAAATGAATTATGCGCGTAATTTGAAACATATTCGTTATTCATATGTATACCAAAATTTAGATTAATCGGAGATATGGACTATTCGGAAGTACACCCGAAAGTTCATACAGTGAGCTGAGTATATTTTACTCCATTTTTTTTAATATTTATTATATCATCCTACAAATTATATATAGGGACTAGCTTGCTTCCCAATACAAACTTTCATCCCCTTTTTCACCCCCTTAAGGGATGAATTCCGGGATAAAAAGTATCCTATGTCCTCCCCAGGGTCTCAAACTATCTTCTTGCTAAATTTCATCTAAATCGGTTCAGTAGATCCAGAGATAACCCCCTACAACGTCACAAACTCACAATCTCACAAACTCACAATTAACAAACTTTACCTCTTTATTACATTAGTATAGATAATAAATTATATCATGACAAACAAACAGTGTAACCTTATTTTTTGCAGAATAAATAGTCAATAAACACGTTCTTTACACTTGAAATAAATGAAAACGTGAGAGCTAAACATATAATCAAAGCAAATACAGATTAAACAAATCTAGACTTACACAAGATCTAGGAAGCAAACGATATTATTTGCAGCGCGATTTTTCACGCTTCCACGACTACGCAGCGTTCAGTCAGTATTAAAATTTAAATCACAGTTAATCTAATCATATTTATTTCTGAAATATTATTATAGTAGTATTAAGACCTCATATTTCCAAGAGTAACTGAATTATTTACCTATTAAACTTTGTTCTCTCTTAAGTAACCTTTGCAAAGATATGAAAATTGGTTTAAATTTCACATCTCTTTGTCTTTGCGTGCATTGGTTCTTACCGACTTTGTTTAACAATTCAAGCTGCAATTAGCACCATAATGGTAAATGTCTAATATTATCCAGTTTGCATTACTTAAGTAATTTAAAGTATCTTAAACTGGTAAAATAACAGCCGCCTAATGGATCATTTGAATAATTTATTATAAATTTGAGGTGCTATGTATGTATGTACCGTTTATACTATTATAATTGAAACAAAGCCTTTATGTTGCGAACAATATTAGTGTTCATAAACAACGCCAATTCACGCTTTCGGTCACAAAAGTCGTCTACTTCATTATTCATCATGTCACAATATTGTTTAACATCTGCGGTATTAATCGCTAATATTGAGTTTCATTGGGGAGGTTATCAAGGAGCGGTTTTTGAGCTATGATGGCATCGATCGGTGTCTATTTAACATTCGCTATTAGGACTTACCCTTGAGTATTAATTACATCTTTTAATGGAATGAAAGCAAGGTGCCTTAAAATATACCTAACTAGAAAATGAAGGTTAGATATATATATATATATATATATATATATATATATATATATATTTGTATTTATGATTATAGTATAGTTTAAATAGCTGGACTTACAATGGAATATATCCATTAGCTTTTTACAAGCTAAATTTTTTAAATTTCTCTAAAATAATAAAAACGACCATAAAGGAATTGTGTGTAGTTTAAACTATAATATATGCATACGCATATTGTTATCAGATGGAAAAGGCATGGTAAATAACAATAAGTTGTTAATAGTAATAGTTTTTTAGTTAAAAGCATTTCTTGAATAGTTAAAAGCACTTAATAGTATTTGTTTTCGGCGAAGCTCCGAGACCGGTCGTCGATAAGTGGTCTTTATCTGTGACTAATCGAGCGAATGCTCCCAAGCCTAATACAATCAATTAAAGAACACCGCACTCCTATCTCTGTTGTTTCTCATCGTATTTTTTTTTTTTCATTTCTTATAAGATCTCTATTTTCTTAATTAGTTATCTTATTAAATGTATAAAATTTAAAAGTCTTATGAGTTTAACAAATTCAAATAGCTAAGTGAGCGATCGGCAGCAAAAGCTTCAAAATAAATTTGGAAGAAAATATAACAACGCTAATTTCATACAAAATGATTGATAATAATAATTCGAAATTTAACAAAATAAAAGATATTTCAATAAATCAATATAAGCATTACATCTGCAACCTTTTACCACGATATTAACGACGAGCAAAAAACCAAACGCATTTTGTCGTTGACGTAATCCGTGCACCGGCAACAGGAGCAATCTGAGCGATGTTGGCTCTTATAAATATTAAACGCTGCGAGCTTGGGACCTCAACAAAAACGTTTATCTGGTCTCCGCGGAAAAACCGCCAGAATTAGCAACAGGGGGTGGATAAAGGCAGACCGCACTTAATCCTTCTCTAAGAAGGCTCTGCTTAAACGAGTTCTAACGAGCTAAAGATAAAACAATTACCGGAGACGTGATTAAGAGATACGGAGGACACTTGTTACGTCTTACGATGATTCTGTCTCGCTGCTCTGACGGCCTTTTTGCTGTTAAGTAAGTCTTATTTACCCCGTTACTTAAGATCTAAAGTTAAGTCAACCTGATTAATTTCCTTAGAGGATTCTTTCAAATGAAAAAAAAATCCTATTTTTCTTATCGTACCTACTGGTATAAAAATGTTGCTGAAAATTTGTGAAACAAATGAGCATTTATGTTGTTCCAAAAACAAACAATGGGTATTAGATAAAATTATAAATGATGTTTTATAAATATAAGTTCTATTTTGTAAGTGTGGGATTTTAAACCTATAAAGACAATACCAATAACATTTCTGTGTAATTACAATATATACATACAAATGAGCAGGAAAATTATATTCGCTAACGCACTTTCACGCATTCAATTTTCGCCAAAACCAAGTGTGACGTTTCACAAAACTAATTACGTATCGAACCGATCTTCTTTACGCTTTCTTGCGTGCTTTTCGTATTTCCATATAAGTTGAGCTATAAACGAGCCAATCTATTCACGTCTACACATCAGGGGTTCGCATTTGCATATAGAGCAGAAATTTATTAAATCTACAGCCAATATTCCAGCTTTCCGACATTGAACTCTTACTTATTCATTGCGTCTCTGAAATTTTTATTGGATTGTAAAAAGGTATTCAAATTTACCTTCATTTATAGGAAGTACAGGCGCGGTTTAATCAACGGTTTAAGCGAGCTTTTTTGTTAAAGTCAATTGTGTGTTTTACTAGCTATAAGAAAAGATATTGAGATTAATATAAAAATATAATGAGTAATAAAGAAAGAATTCTATTACCAAAAATATTTAATCTTCTTGTGTTTATATTTTACAAAAAATAATTAACTCATTATAAAATTAAAAAGACCTAGTTTTAAAAAAAAGCCTTTTAAAACAAAACAGGGACGTTAATTGGTTGAATTAATAATACCGTAACTGAAGCCAGGCCGTGGGCACTGCCAACTTGACGATACTAACGAAACTGTACCTCACAAAACGCCAAGGGCGCAACTGTTGGACCGTTTGAATTAACGAAAGCGAAAGGACAAAAATTTCAAAAGAATTCGCACGATGGATAAACAGTTAAAAATTAAAGTCTATTTGCGGCTAGCAAACTGCTCGAGAGTAATCCCCGTAGTAACATTTATCTTTTCTAAATTAGATAGTAGAAGGTCCCTCGTGGCTCGGTTACCTACGTGTAAGAAGCAAATTGATTTAATGATGTTGAATAAGAGATAATGTTATTTCTTTGTAGGAATGTACTTTACATTGTGGTATTAGTACTTGTTTGTTTTTGTTATAAAAGTATCGTGTATTTACACTTTGTGCCAAGCATAATACTCAGAAAGTTGAGTGTTGTTGCATTTTAATTAATTCTCTTTTCTATCGCGATGCGGTGTTATCAGCCGCCCGCAGGCGGTGTGGACAAACAAATCGGTAGCAGCGTAGGAAAGTAGAGGTTTTGACACCGTGATATTTTTCTTTGCCTCTGTATAGTTTTTATAAGTATCTATAGATCGGTCCTAGAACGTTGAAAAACTAACTTAGTCAAACTTATCATAAGATAACCCGCACAAAAAAACAAATATTGTTTATAAAGAAAGCTTGACTAAAGAAGAAATAACTTAGTAAGTAGAAAGATAAATGCAGCAATATTTAATCACTTAATTTTCTTCCAGGCTCTAGACGGTCAGAACATTTACAACGGATGCTGCACGCTGCGCATCGACTACTCAAAGATGACTTGTCTCAATGTTAAATACAATAATGACAAGTCCCGCGACTACACAAACCCTACGCTGCCTTCTGGAGACGGTGATGCTCATCAACTGTTGACCAGTGAGTTGACGCCACTGCGGGCTCGCCTCGCCTTGGCCCTCGCGACCAGGATGAGTTAGTCTTATACTGAAACACACCTGGAAGCTTCCTCACTATATAATCACATCTATTTCGTAGTCACACCTAATGTTTGATGTATTTTAGATACTTTATTTCAGTTGATCTAATAGGTTTCATTCCTTTCTCTCTACCCGTCCTATATTTTTGTTTTGAAAGTTTGAAATATCACAAAAAATTCTTAATCTGATAGTGTCAAGTAAATTCGAAAATATATATAAGTTTATATTATGGTAGTTAATCGCAAAAGTTCCAATATATTCCGCTTCAAAATAGAAATAACAAAAAAGCACATTTACTATTCTGCTACACTCCCTTGTCTTGTTTATTATTCATAATCAATTCTAAATGTTTCCACAGTGACTAATAACTTATCATAAATCCCTATTGCACCGTAGAGGGTTGTAATATATGAGGATTATTTCTGTAAAGCCTATTTGTTGCTTTTATTGTTGTATACTATCGCTTTGTATATTAGGATCCCAACAAAAACGGACTTATGGCTATATTTGTATGATGTCCTATCGTTTTATTCTTGCATAAAAACAGATAATATTGTTCTTCATACATATAATATATTTAGTTTATAAATAATAGAAAATACATACGACAATGGTTTTAGATATACATTATTTCGATTTTTTTCTTTTTTCTCATTTATCGAGTACTTGTAGTTACAAGTCAATTTTGTTAAAATTTCATATTACCTATTTAATATATGATAGCCAAAATTTTTACGAAATGTTTAGTGTGCTTTTCTAAACACACTACAATATAGTAGGTAATGATACTTACGATGTTAGTATTCAGATTTTCTAGCGCTGGAACCGCTTAATATTTACATTTCGAGAAAGAAAAATGACCTAACCGTCCAAGAGGCCTTTATGCACATTTGCATTTGCACATATGCAAATTCTATAATTCGATGTCTATTTGTTATTCTTTCAAGTAAATGTATGGTTTAAATATATCTACAAATTTTCTTTGTAGTGAACTACAATGCGACCAAAGTAAAATGATATCGTTATTCATAGATTATCTTTTATTACTAAAGTCTTTTCTAATAAGTACGTATATACCTTTTCTTGTAATATTATTTATTGATATTATTTCTCGCTGTTTCTTTAGAAGTCTTCCCCGATACTTGAAAACCTATTATTTGGAAATGGAATGTTAGTAGTTCTATCATTTTCCTTCATATTTTTCACACACGTTGTTTGTTCAATTTGGTAAACTTAGCAATTAATCTGTATTTAGTAGTTATCTTACTTAGCTACTTCTAGGCATAATTCTTAGTTCTAAAGTTATAAATAAATATTAAACAGGGAGAACAGAACTATGTGTAATTTTTGCTTGTATATAAAATGTAAATAATATTATAATGCGTAGGCATTGTCATATTAATACTAATTACTTAGAATAAACCAAACATGGATGCAATTGTAAACACTAGAGAAACGTAGCTCGGAGCATTCGCAAAGATACTTGATCGGATCCTTTATGTACTTCAAGCTGTACTAATTATAGATACCCATTAGGTTGAAGCGAGTTCTTCATATAGACACGTATTAGATTAAACTCGAAGACATGGATTCGATATCCGCTCGAGACAAACATTTATGTAAATAAGTAATTTACATAACTATTTCTCTTAGATTAGAAGATAATCAAAGTTAACATAAGTGCTATATTCTAGGTATAACTAGTATTTGCAACATGTAAATAAATAAAATATATTAATAATTTAACTTTATATAGGTGGTGGTGTATTGGCACCTCCGTTCTTAGGCCTCGGCTCAGGGTTGGCGTCGCCGTATGGTGTAGGAGTGGGGGGAGTTGGCCTTCCCGCTTTTGGCGCCCTAACACTAACGCCGGCGTCGCCCGCCCTCCGCGCGCTCGCCGCGCCGCCGCTGCCGCTCGCTACAGTACTGCTCGTATCAAATCTGAACGAAGAGGTAAGTAATTCATAACGAAAAATCGAATACAATGTAGCAACACAAATGATATAATGTAGAGTGACAGACAAACAAACATTTGCTTATAATGTAAAAACAACTTTTTAGTGACTATGAGAGTTGCATTATGATCAATCTATCACTTGTTAGGCACAAAGTGTAGAGATTATTTATTATGATTCGATTTGGTAGTTTAATTGTTTATTGGCAATTGCATACGCTAACACAATAGCCAGTAACGCTCATTATCAATTTTAATATCGGGACACCAGTTCGAAGGAGTAATAGCTGAAAACTAATAAGTTTGGCGTTACAGGCTATTTACATTTTTATATATTCTTAAACTCCTTAAAAATAAGTTGCTAATTTATTTATAGATATGAAATCAAATATCTTTTACGACTATTTATAATACTATCTCTTTTCTCTTTCCTATTGTTTTAGATGGTCACGCCTGACGCTCTATTTACCCTTTTCGGTACGTGTGCACATAAATCCGTATTTTATATTAAAACATTAATATTACTCCTTTTTAGGCTTGCCAGATTGAAAAATAAACAAGTTTTGGATTGGGACTATAATGTATTAAAGTTTGATTAAAATGTAAGAACTATGTTGATAAATAATCACAATCATCACTGATTACGTTTATTATGATATATTATTAAATAATATATAAACAAAATATTAATATGTTCGATTAAATATATCTTTTAAGTAAAAAAAAAAAACAAAATCTTATATCTGGCAACCCTACTTAAGTCCCTGTATTGGAAGACAAATTGTCAACTAACATTCTCGACTTCTATACTGATAACAGCATCCGATGACTTTTTTGTCGAAGCTTCGCTTGTTAACACTATCCATTCTAAGATCATTCTAAACGCTTTATTAACTTGACAATTTGTTTTTCAGACTTAGATGTAGCTAGGTTAGTGTATGGCCCCGTACTGTATGTCATTTTTACTTGTAAAATGTTCAGTTAGAGTTGTAAACTATTGAAATATAGATTTAGTTCTATATCTACACAGATTCTAGCAAATATATAAATACATAGCGTTATTTTCTTTTAAATTACCACCTATCCATTACAAAAGTTTCAAATTATTGAGTACCCATGCTTCATACAGCAAACCAATCGAAGGCCGATGCTGTTAACCGCTAAAGCATTTAATCGGAAGCTTAAACGTGACCAAAATAGAGCTTGGAGTTGTTTTCTTCTTATATTACTTTCATCTCTCCCGTTTCACAACATTATTTTGTATTCATTTGTTTTACTAAAACCCCTCTTTTGTTAGAACAACGTGTATTTAAGTATAACATGCTTAGTTGTAGGTATAAATTTAGATTATTACCTGGCAGTCTCAACTTTGCTTCTAAGCCTGTGTAAAAAAACTTATAAAATTTTACGATTTTAAAGTAAATATTCGACTCGTTTCGTTGTTTTTATTGTTCTTAAGTAATTTCGGTTAATAAGTTAAAAAAGCTAGCTTAGAACTAAGTTACGACTGGCAAATTGAAATATTATATTTATGTAATAAAACCGCGTATTGTTTAGTTTTGTAACGTATTTTTATTATGTAGGCGTGTATGGCGACGTGCAGCGGGTGAAGATACTTTACAACAAAAAGGATTCAGCGCTAATTCAAATGGCAGAGCCGCATCAGGCTCATTTAGGTATAGTTTCATTTTCAACTTTATATTACTAGATATAAAGACTATAATTTATATATGTATTCCTTCGTTTATATGAATATTATAGTTTCCTACAGCTTACGTTTCATATTGCGTGGTAAATCTGAATAACGCGCTTGTGGGATATTCATTATGACGGTAGATAAATATTTTATTTTTACATCAAGTAAAAATTGATTTAAAGCAAAGAAAATTTTTATCTCTTAAGCGTTTTACTTAATTTATTTCTCACTTTGAGGAGTTATGAAAAAAAAAGTAGCGAAATGACATCTAATAGGCGCTTCTAATTAATTATCGTCGTGATTTAAAATTTAGCAACTTTTTAATTAATTTATCAGTGACAAGCAAAGGGCGGGTTGTGAAGGGATCCCCGAAACTATAAGCTTCGTGATCCCCAGCTTAACTAACCATTTGTTAACTTTACGAAGTACATATTTTATATTATTGACGTTTCTCTTTATAATTTGAAATATCTGAGATTTTATCTGTACAGATACCCAAATAAAATTGAAGTGTCTGTTTGTAATGTCAAATAACAGCGTTTTACTAAATATATAAGACATTATATACGGTATTTATAACACAATTTTTAAATTTTTTGTCTGTCTGTTTGTTCCGGATAATCTCTGAAACGGCTGGACTGATTTTGACGGGAGTTTCACTGAAAGATAGCTGGTGTTATAAAGAGTAACATAAGCTACTTTTATATTAGAAAAAGAATTAGGGTTCGTTTAAAAATAAATAAAAATGAATATATTTCCTTATAAGATATTATTAAGTTACGATTAGTTAAGTTTTACCATACTAGTATTATTATTATTTAAATTAAAGTGATATGATATCTAAATAGTGTTTATTAATCCATAAATAGTAGTAAAATATAATATTATAATTGTATTCAATCCAGCCATGACTCATATGGACAAACTGCGCGTATTCGGGAAGGCGATGCGCGTGATGCTCAGCAAGCACCAGACTGTGCAACTGCCCAAAGAGGGACAGCCTGATGCTGGACTCACTAGGTAAGTGCTTATAATTGTGACATATATACATGTATATATATATATATATATATATATATATATATATATATATATATATATATATATATATATATATATATATATATATATATATATATATATATATATATATATATATATATAAAAATATATATATATATATATATATATATATATATATATATATAAAAAAGATAGAGCATTAGATGTTATGTTATTATCTGCTATAATTTTTAATTTATCTCGAACGCTCTAGTTTAAACTGGAGTGTGAAAATAGACTGCTGCCATTTATTTAATTTTTAGTATATACGACTAAAATTTTTCCATTAGCTGTTCTCCGTCTGGTTAAAATAAAGTTATCTAAAATGGAGTTTTCTGATACCAAAAATAACGAAGACACTATTATGTCTTTGCTATTTTACTCTCGCAATGGAAAGTGCAAAGAATTTATTCTGAAAATAGGCATCATTAAAGACTAAAAATATGATATTTTCCCCAGTTAATATCACATTATGTTGTTATATATTTCATATAATATACTACTAGCTATGCCCCGCGATTTCCGTTGATTTTAAACATCTTATATATAAAATTTCCATGTCACAATGTTTGTTACCGTACTCCTCCGAAACGGCTTTACCGATTTTTACCAAATTTTATATGCGTATTCAGTAGGTCTGAGAATCCGCTACTATCTTTTTTTCATACCCCTAAGTGATAAGGATAAGGGTGGTCCTCCCGGAAAGGAACCCGAGCGGAGCAAGGGTGAGTCGCTAGTTAGATTTATAATAATGTATGGAAGTCTGCCCAATTTGTTGACATCTATGATTACTGCTCCGTTCCCTTGGGTAGTAGCATGATGATTTATAGCCTATAGCCTTTCTCAATAAACAGGCTATCTAATGCAAAAAGAATTTTTCAAATCGTATTAGTAGTTACTGAGATATGAAGATGAGAAAAAACGAATAAGCAAACAAACATACACTGCCTCTTTATAATATTAGTATAGATTCTTTATTGCACTTAGTATATGTGAAATATAGAAATTAACATACAATAAAATTAGTTAGCAAAGATGGTTAAACTATCATTTATAATATAAACCATGAATAATTTATAATGAAAATCAAAATATATATCTTACCTATAGTCGTATTGCATCACTTCAACGCCGAAAGCGCCTTAGTTGTTCAACAATGTTTACAATTATACCCATTAGGTTATGCTTCATGTTAATGTAGAATACACGACAGTACTGGGGAAGTACAAGAACTGTTATGCAGAAGCAAATATACACAGCTAAATGAAATACAAGTTATTAAATTTATCATACTAAAGCTGCATATTTATTAAGTATAATTTTTATAACGTTGAATTAATTTTATGTATATATATAATATATATATATATATATATATATATATATATATATATATATATTATATAATTTTATTTTAATCTGCACGCTCTTTTTTTTTGGGTAAAGGGAGAGAACTACAAACCTTTACTTTTCCAAAATTATATCTTTGCTATTCTTAAACAATAGAATATATTATATTTCTGGGAAAACTAAACAATTTATTGGTAACCAAAATTTTTTTTCTTATTTTGTTCATTTTATAAGTTAATTTGTAAATATTGAACTAACTATAAGTATACTACTACGACTAATATCATGCATACGTATGTATATGCATAAGTCTTTGTTAAGAGCTAAACGTACTTTTTAGCTTTTATTTTACAATATGCTAGAATCAAAACTCTGTATTCAGCCCATTTTTAACATCCCACTGCTGGGCACGGGCCTCCCTTCAGTACGAGAGGGATCAGACCGTAGTCCACCACGCTGGCCAAGTGCGGGTTGGCGGACTTCACATGTCTTTCGAAAACTTGCTAGGTTCTCTCAGGCATCCAGGATTCCTCACGATGTTTTCCTTCACCATAAGACAAGTGGTAATCATGTTAGAAATGATTCGCACATGAAAATATGAAATGCGAGACCTGGGATTTGAACCCGCTTCACTCGGTTCCCCAAGCGAGCACATACCACTGAGCTACCACTGCCTTTCAAAACTTTAGCCTCATAATAATAAAATGTTATAAAGACGTTTTCCTAAGAATTAAGATAAAAATCTAGAATTACCTATATACCATAATGAGATGAACGTACATTGGTATTATAAAGGAGGACCAAAAACTTCTACGTTGGGTCTTTAGAAAACGAGACTGTTATATCAGAAAAGATATTCGAAAACTCAAACTTGTCTTTTATGAGATTATACAAATTTCTAACGACTTCTTCCTTTGAACTAATGTCTATGTAAATGGTATCGTTTTAATATGCATGACCTGAACTCATTTATGTTTTGAAACCATTAGTAAATAATAATATCGGAGTTAGACAATAAAGTAGAATATGCGTGTAGAACAATAAATAAAACCAAACGAAGCAGTTAATGTCTGAAACAAAATGTCAATATAATATTTATTTTTCATTGAAAAACAAAAACAAATCTGTCCTACGAGAACCGTATATTTTTCCAAGATTATGAATTGCCTATTAGCTTTTCCAGACTAAAATCTATCTATGTGTCAAATTTCATCCAAATCTGTGTAGCCGTTCTGGCGTAATTGAGTTACAAAAATCCATCCAAACATCTAAACTTTCACATTTATAATATTAGTAAGATGGTATATGGTTCATTATTTCTAATACTATTTTAACAATTTGCGTATAAAGTTTCAAGCTATTTTAAAAGGCAAGTCAGTCGCTAAATGTGTATTTTTTTGAAATTATACTTCTTTTGGCATGTTTAAAAAAAAATATGAGCGGAAAATTTTTACGATGCGCGCGCACACCGACAGCCAAAAAACGACATGATGGAGTTAGCTGAAAGCGGCATAATGAAGTTAGCTGCATTCCCTGTACAAACAGAGAGTTGTGACAAACGGGATGAAATCTTTAACAATTTTTGTTCTGCGACGCCACGAAAACTTTTACACATCATACGATTATTACACACCATGAAAAATGTCCCAAACAAGTTGGGAGGCATTTCTAAGAAAATGTTGCAAATGGTCACCAAATTTGAAGCGCTAAGAATTGACTTTATTTTTGATGGTGTGTAATAATTGCTATGCTAGCAGTCTCATAAATCATCTAATTATTACCCAAGTATTATATATAAAAATCTGCTATTATACTATAACGTAAGTAGAATTATGATTTCATGAAAAGGGTGTCTGGCAAGGGTTTGCCACGATGTTAAGTGTCTGGCATTGAATGACGTGATATTTAATAATATTCTGAAGGTAGCACCAAAAAATCACACTTTATTATTCGACGAATTTAGATCGGTATTTTACACACCTTTAGTACCGTGTACCTGCCAAAGCCACCATAGCCTGAACTTCATAATGGTCCATCGTTCTTATCTGTGTTGGGAGCATGCCCTGACAAACTTTCACCTTTTATAAAATGACGAAGGTCTGGCGTTCATGGGCTCTTAGGCCAATAAGTACACACACATAAGTTTTATTTTATTATCCTTGACATTATAAAATCATTTTAGGTTTAGATCACTATTTCTTGCCCGCTCCGTCCACCTAATTATTTTAGTCGGAGTTATTAAAGTAAAGAATGTTTTATGAACGAAAATTAATGTCAATATTCAAAGTATGTCACTGACAAAATAAAATAAAAACTTATTCGGTCAATCTCATATTATATTAAAAACAAATTAAGCTAGCGTTATAATGCTTTTGTACTCAGCAAAATACACGTTAAAGTTCAAATGAAACTTGCTTTATGTTCGTAGTTTATTAAGTAGCTAAATAGTGTTCATAGTAAAATCCACACTAACATTATAAAGACGTAGTGTGTGAGTGTTTTAGAGGTTGTTCTTCGGAACTGTTCTAAATATTCTTTTACTAGTAAAATGTTACTTTAGTCCGAAGTAACATATTATGTAGGTATAGGTTTATTTTTATAACAGTATATTAGGTGAATTCTATGGGATATAAGCATTGCAAAAGTTTCTGTTAGAAGCAGTGACTACTTAAAACTTGGTTATCTGCAACTTCTAATCCTTATATAAAAAAGTTAATTCATTTTTACATTCCTTCTACACTTTATCTTAACCAGACCGGAGCTAACATTTGCATGGTAAACACGAAAAATTACCTGTGCGGAAATCGAACTTGCTATCTACAGCGTATAACAAAGTGAGCGGGGACACCATAGCGCCACGCGGACGTCATATCAATAATTGTTTTATATAAAATAATTTACCTGATATCTGAATAAGCCACATATAAAAGATTTAATCGAGTGAATTGGAATGAAGTCAAACGATTGACCGCGCAAATCGAGATATGGCAAACAATTTTTTAAATTGTGTACCACAGATTATCATTTATATTTTTTAATCATATGAGCGTTTTTATTTTATATTCTATTGTTTTTGTCATTATTAATTTATATAATGTTACTCGTGTGGCGTTTTGGTCTGTCTGTCATTTACTGACGAATAATTGAAATTATTAGTTTTAAGGTAGGTATTTATGAGTAACCTAATGACATATCAAATGAAAAGCGCTCGTTATGTTGGTTGGTATATATAATGATAATGATTCACAGAATCTGTATGTGTAAGAATATGTATTTATTCATATTTTAACTTAATTTCAATAACATTTTGTAAAAAAATAATAGATGCCATTATTGTTAAGTCGTTACTTAATGCTTCTAAAACAATCTAAGATATATTTACACAAGTTTACTTAGCTTCAAATAAAAAAAAAACTAAAATGACAATACAAAAAAATAAACACATTTTATAGCCTTACCTGTAGCGAAATAGAAGAACAATCTTTATGAAACAATATTCTGAAATGAAGTACGTGTATTCGATTACTGTTGAAGGTATTCTGGTATTCTATAAATTGCTATTATATTTCAGGGACTATTCTCAGAGCCCACTCCATAGATTCAAGAAGCCGGGCAGCAAAAACTATCAGAACATCTACCCGCCAAGTGCTACATTACATTTGTCCAACATACCGTAAGTTATCTTTTTATTCATGTTAACTTTCTTTATAAAACATTGTCGTTGTCTGCACCATATACTTAATGTTTTATTAGATACTATATTAGCACTAGCATAAATTATTTTTTAACTCGTGAGGTTGCTTCCTCATGCAAACTTTCATCCCCATTTTCACCCCCTTAAGGGATGATTTCCGGAATAAATATTCTATGTCCTTCCCAGGATCTCAAACTATCTTCTTACCAAATTTCGCTTAAATCGGTTTTGAGTTTATTCGTTACAAACATACAAAAATAAAAATCTTTCCTCTTATTAATATTAGTGTAGATGTGGACTACTATTTGAGGTTTATATGAAAAGCTTTCTTTCATAAGGTCTTCATTACTTATTCTTTTAACTCCGCTTTAAATTTTCCTACATAACGTCGCCATAGTGCTCATTTGTTCAAACTACCAATACTTGTTGTACTTTACAGTAGAGAGTTTTTTACTCTATTTTAAAAACAAAGCTCTAAACTAAGCTCTTTCTCTTCTTTAAAAATACATCTATTAGGCGTTTTTAAAAGTTAAATGTTTATTTTGTACCAATATAGAGTTAACATTTAAAAGTCAATAATAATTTAGACAAAACAGTTGAGTTTTCCTCCATTTGCCAACCGATTTTCTTTATTTGCTTAGATCTTTCTTAGACTTTATTTCTATTAACAATTTTTATTGTTAATATAGTTAAAAAAATATTAGTGTTGAAATTCGTTCACTGGGCGTTCTTTGGTATATTAATTAATTAACGAATTCGAGACATTAAACATCATCCTTTTATGACACATTGGGTCGAGACCATCCGAACACCTACAATTTCACAGTCCAATTACATTTGAAGCAGAACGATTACAAACGATTCACTTAATCGACTTACTAATGAGATATATTAATGTATTAAATTATTAATTGAATAATCTTAATATAATAGATTGATTAGCAACATTAATTACTAACTAATGAGGTATTTCAATAGTTTATAATTAAATTGGCAATAGAATAACATACACGAACATGTAATAATTAATATTTGCCTAATACACTTACGAGTATATGTGGGTTAGTAAAGATTTCGTCAATATTTCTACTAACACAACACAAATTTCATTATTTAACTCATTTTATCAATTTTTGTTACATTTTTGTAATGTTTAAGCGAGATTCTTAAATGGTACATTTAGAAGACAAACATATATAAAGAAATATATTGGGACATTAACACACAGCACCATCTAGTTCCATGGTAAGCTACGAGGCTTGTGTTATGGATACCAGATAGTTATACACTATAAATATAAACACCAATGACTGGAGAATAAACGTTTGTATTCATTACACAAGTGAATGCCCCCAGCGGGACTCGAACCCACGACCGCTGGCACAGCAAGTAAGGACTACAAACTGAGCCAAACGTGTCGTCTATATAGTTGAACGTTGTCTATCTCTAGCGGGACAGCCAGGGACAGTGGAATGTTAAGAGGGCACCGAGCTTTTTATTTTAGTAAGGCGACAGCGGGCAGGGGGGGGGTATGGTATAGGTGGGATGGACGGAACGCATGCGAATTTAGGTATTTCCGTCGTATTATTAAAACAAATACACATTTTGAAAATTTAAAATGTATACGATATAGAAAGCGTTATAGTTTTGTTATTATTAAAAACCTGATGAACTTCCTTGAATTATTTACTACCGCACACTTACCGCACTAACTGGTTTATTTTGTTTTTTATTAGAGACCATTTTGGATTTTTTTTCTATCGAGGAAACTACGAGTAATCGTGTGTCTAAAGTGTACGATTTATAGAATAAATCCTTAAATATCCTACATATTGATTGCATAATTAAAGTTTTAGTAATAACAATGCAGCAAGGGATCAAACGAACGTAATTATTTCGTAACTGCCTCGGTGCCCTACATTCGCATCCTTTGAATACTTACTTGTTAAATGATCCTTCATAAATGTCCTAGATATATGATCTTCACGTCCAGTTCTAACTTCTCTTCTTCATCTTCCACTATGTATATATTTTGACTGGTACTCAAATTTTGATGAGTACATCGAAAAAATGTTAATAAATTCAAATTCTCAAGTGTAATTTCACTAACTATAGGTAACTTATTGATATCTGTTTTAGAGCTACGGTTTCTGAAGACGATATAAAAGAAGCTTTCACAAAACGAGGATTCACAATCAAGGCCTTCAAATTCTTCCCGTAAGTCAATATTATTGGTTATTTTCAGTATATTTACGTTATAAAATAAAATAATAGGTTTCCAATTTCAAGGTACACAATTTTGTTTTTACTTATTTTAGCTTTATTTTAGCGAGCGGTTTTAATATCAAATTGAACGATTATTATCGTTAAGCGTCATATTAATTAAGTATGTTTAAAACTAAAATATTTTTACACAATAATTTATTTTATAGTACACTAATAACAGTTTTATGATAATATATATTGTAATTGTTTTTTTTTTAACTTTACTTAACTTTAAACTATAAAAGTAGTGCAAAATCAATGCTCGTCAGTATAATTTTGCGGGTAGATGTTTACTCTAGTTACTCATGTGCCTGGATAATTATAGCACCATTTGAATGCTTTTGTACCGTTATAGTGAATTCAATAATAGATAAATCTATATTTTGACATATATTTAAAATTTAAATATCCCCGACCGTCTTGGACCGATTTTTATCAAACATAGCTAAGAACACTCTCGACTAATTTACCTTTCAAACAAAAAAAATCTAAATCAGTTCATCCGTTTGGGAGCTACGATGCCACAGACAGACACACACACAGACACTTCAAACTTATAGCACCCCGTCGTTTTTGCGTCGGGTGTTAAAAATAGCGCATGATTTATTTTTGTTTATTTTTTACCCGACTGCGGCGAAGCCCAAAAGAGGGTTATGTGTTTGACTTGTATATATGTATGTATGCTAAGGAACGCATAAAGGACAAACGTATAAAGAAGAAAAAAAATTTCTTTTTTTTTGCGTCAAGAACCTTCGCGGGCATATACAGGATAAACCAATCAACTGAGTTACATCATAATCGGATTTTTGAATGCATAGAGGAAAAACATACGACTATTAATTTTTATTTATATAGATAGATAATAAAATATAAAATTGATTAAAATATTTCATTTTTTATTGCAGGAAGGACCGCAAAATGGCGCTTGTCCAGCTCCCATCGATCGACGACGCAGTCGCGGCACTTATAAAAATGCATAATTACCAACTCTCCGAATCCAACCACCTGAGAGTGTCCTTCTCAAAATCAAGTATTTAAACAAAACAACTAACGCATCCTCGGAATATCACACAACAGTCGATATAAAACTTAATGAGATTGGCTCTTGCTAGAACGGGGCAATTATAATCGATTCGCTAATCGATTTCGATATAACTTCTAATTAGCTAAGCGAGTACATAATCGAGTTATTGCAGTATCGATCATAATTGCCCCCGTCTAGTTAGTATTGAATGCATACAGCTAATATAGCTCTCAAGCCTTACTGTTTAGTGATACGACTGTATACATCGTACCTCTCTCACAAATCGAGACATTAACTCGACTGAAAATTATAATATATCTGTATTACGCTTACTCGGATCAGTCTAGAAGTTAAGTGCTACTCTATTTCACTAGAATACGTACTGTATCATAATTTAAGGCCATCTTCCCCAACGGCAGCTGAAATCGATTTAATTTAACTTTTGAGAGTTCTCGCAACAATGTAGATTTGATTTGTGTGATATTCATTCCGTATTTTTATCATTCAATATATTATTTTTATAGATATTTTATTATTCCGGTATGTTTTATGTCCATGGTCCATCTTGATCTGATCGGAGCCGATTGATAGCAATTAGATTGCGCTAGATTCTGGTCGATGTCAAACATCGCCGCGGCCGCCGGCCAAACTCTACGGTAAATAGTATTACAATTTACATTATTATATTATACATATTATATCATCACTAGCACATTGTTAAAAGTATTTCTTAATCACTTATAATTTGCAGTTATTATTATCTAAGATTATATTTTATAAATATATTTTATGCTCTGCACAATTTATTATGGCATTTTTTAAGTAATTATAGTTTTGTACGCATACACATTGTTTATTTTTTAAAATGTAACGCTACGTTTAGAAATGTGTATGTGTGTGCAATATTAGTTATAGAGGTTAAGTATATTTTAGATATAAAATCTTCTTTGTCCGGTTCGAACCGGAATCTCCACTACATACTTCCAATACTGTTTCGTTATATAGAAAAAAATATTCTGTTTATTGTTACAATACTTAGTTCTTCTCGATTAGTTAGTGTAATCACAACTACTATCGCTATACACCTAGTGGATACGCTGGAAGCGAGCGATTACGAATGATTAATCGAATGACATTAAATGAATTACGCATCGATTATGATATCCAATAATTATGTTAATTAATCGATTAGTAATGCTAATAATTAATAATATGAAAATAATGAAATCGATTTTCTTAGTATTACTAGTAATTAAATTTAACAATGAAAATAATCGATACGTCTAAATACATTCGCGTCACTCGTAGCCGCGCGCTTCTTTATAATCTATATAATGTTATGTTGGTGACATAATAGTGACATGATGCATTTATTTTGATGTTAATTTATATTAATGGTAGCTAAAACAATAAATGCTCGTGCATACGTTTCACTAAGCAATTAATTATAAATAATTATTTATTCCTCTCTACACGGGGACTCTAACCGTGCGGTGTGGTAAGTGTTATTTTGAAAGTATTTTTAGAATAATTTTCTATACAATGAATACTATTTGAATATTGCCACACTGTTCACTCTTTACGTTCTAGAGTGTTCTCGAAGTTTCATGATCTAGACACGCATTATTATCTCATTACTTACAACAGTATTTTAGTTGTAGACCTTCGATACTCTGTACATAACATTCGGAACTTAACTAAGCACTAAATTGGTTTTCACACATCTTTGCCTTCTTAAATTAATAAAATTGCGTCTAGTCCAATGCAAAAGAGATTAAGTTTGTGGATTAAGTAAATTAACGTAACTTTAAAAAATCCCTACGAAAACTACACTGTAATAGCGCTATATAGAGATATTATTTATTTATTGTAAAGGATTTCGGTCAAATTAATGGTGCCCATAAACTACGCTCTAATTTTTAGGACCATGTTGAGTGTTCAGTTACACGTCCAGTCTATGATTAGGCAAAGAATGCGTGAAACAGATACCTGAATTACGACGAGTTAGTGAAACATTGCTATTCGCGTTATATTATTAAATTTTAAATGCTAACTTTAGAAGGAATGGAATTCATACATATCTGGAGTAATGCGAAAGCAAATTGGGGGGTTTTCGACAGATTGTAAGCTTCCCAAATACTTTGCATTACCGGAGTATAACGATCAGACGAATGCGTCGTTTGTTGGCTCTAAGGGCCGTAGCAACATATCTTTCGGTCACAAAAAAAACGAACTTTACGATATCATTTGAAAAGTCATAAAGCTGTCGTAAAGTAAAATATTTACACTATTATAAATTGTATAATATACATCACGTACCGTTATATAAAAATAGAGCTTAGTACGATGGTTAAACTAAAAAAAAATTAGATTGTCATTTCTATGTAAGGTTTAATAGAGAAATTTAATCATACATGTATTAATCAGTATATATGTATGTATAAGAACGTGTAAGTAGTTTGGTTTAATGATGTTAGGCGACCAGGGTGTGGTGATATTTTGCACGTTTTTGAAATGTTTTTCTATAATATGGTACAGATAACTGTGCCGGTTTTGAAATAATGAATTTGGTGGTGGTCTGATTGAAACGGTATCGGTAGTGATCGCATTGAATTATATTACGTATTTATTGTAACAAAATCACAAACAAGAGATTACATATCTACTTTACTCTGCGGAAAACGCTACACACACGACATCCACCATTTTTGTTTTTATATGTTACCTGTCTTGCATAGTGCTGTACTTAGATGAAATTTACAGTAGATAGTGTTATTCGAGTTGCTCATCAGAGCTGCGTCTATGTTTGTCTATGAAAATTAAGTTTAACATTTCGCCTGCTCGTGCTCAATTTGTAGAGGCAACTAGTGTGTGTAGCGTTAGGCCTAATATTTTCTCAACAATATCGGTATTGACTAAATAGATAATTATAGGAATTTATGTGTTTAGAGAAGTATTTTAAATATTTAGGATAATGTCGTAATTGTAATTAAAAAAATAATAAATCAGTGTTTAGAATGAGATGCCAAATCTAAAGTCAATACACATTATTTTAGGTAAATCATAATTGAATTAATCTTAATTATTAAAAAGTTGATGAAAATGTTACAGTTAAACTATATTTGAGAGTTTTATTAAGCGCAATGTATTATGTAATTTTATTCATTGTAAGCGTACATTGTTTCACTTTGTTAGTTAAAGTTACGCGTTGATAGAGATGTGAATGTTGTTTTACAATCAGTTTGTAATGGCTACTAAAATTTACTTTTCCAAGGGCGGTATCCTATCGATGCAAAACTGCATGTTTATTGTAATTAAATATAATACTATAAAATGAAATGAATGCATATTGAATAGCAACGTCTCGATCGGACCCGCCCTTGACTTTGCCTTTGTATACACATATCTGTTCATATCACTTTATCCCTAAATTTCTAATCTTTTATCGCAAATCAAACTCGCACTTACAAATATATTGTGGCAAATTGCAACGGTCGACATATAGTTGATGTGATGTACATACATACATATGTCTGACCCATCCACGACCCAGTTTTAATTTGTTTGTCGTATTTCACTATATTATTATTAATTTAAAATGTCGTCTGTATCCCTTTTATTTTAGCGATAAGCCTTTTGTGTGGTTAATTTCATTCTTATTTTTAATTTCATTAATTAAACTATTATTATCATTGATTCTTTTTGTTCTTTTATTTTTCCAATCTTCCTTTCCTTTTAACATTTATATGTTTATTTATTTCAATTATTTAACCAAAATGTTAAAACTATTTGTAAATAGAACTCATAAATTTAAATGGGATCAATATAATGAAATCGTGTACGTTTGTTCGTACACCATCTATTCTAGACATATTCTTATCTACTTAGAACTTAATATTCTTGTAACAAAACTAAAGCTGAGACGTTTCAATACTATACTGTATCTGTGCGTACATCTCTGTACCCTTCGGCTCGTCGCCGGACGTGCGACATGTAAATGATATACAGGTTGTTGAGTGAAAGGGATAAGGGACTCAAATATTGCCAATGGTATGTTTTTTGTAAAATAAAAGAATATACTAAGCACAGGGTAAAATGTGAATATATGTACCGGTGTTCGTCCGTGCCAAGCCCCTTGTCCCTGTGAGTTAGAACTGAAACCTTATTGAAACGTTGACATTAGGATGAATTGTGTAACTGCCAATTAATAGGGAAATTTACCGCGTCGGACTAATTATAGTAGATAAATAAAAAAAAAATATTTAGCGAACTCCTTAGGACCTATGAAGTGGCAGTTATCGCGTTAATTATTTAATGTAAATACACGACCTTATAAATAATTAATATAAAGTTATGGAACTATTACAGATTAACATAATCATTACTTTAAGATTTACTAGATAATGTCCTATTCTAATTTCGGTAGTCGCTCTAGTTGCCCTTTACCTGCCTACTGAGGATTTTCTTCGTAGTGGCTGTTAAGTATATACCTGCCCGACTTCGTTATCATATTTAACAAACTTTTGTTGAATTATTAAAACGTTAATGGTGTGCAAATTAAAGGGTTGTGTGTAAAATAAAATAGTTTAATAGATATAAATCGTTCCAGTTAACGAAAATATTGTTTTCTTGTTTTGTCTTAGGCACATCCATTTACTTGTTTCAGCGTTATTTATTATTAATAAACACATCAAGTGTTTAGACTAAATAATACTATTTAAAATCAATATGCCAAAGACCAATCGTTAGAAAAAAAATAACAGGGATCTATCAAATATTATTTTCACTAAATAGAAGATCAAATATATTATGATTTAAGACAAGCTTTAACGAGCACAATTCAAAAGATGTATTTTGATGATTGTTTTACGTAAGTTTATTTTGTGTAAACGCCAACAGGCCACTTTTGATGGCAACACTGTCTGTCACATACAGTTTTGTGAAATATATAAATATATACACTATTTTAACGTCTAAGTGACTACACTATTAAACTCTAGATTTATTCTTTGTCATTTTATATTAAAATATAGTTGAAAATATTTTTACTTTTATTCATGTACCTATCCTGCTCCTCTGCTCAACATGTTATTTTTATGACGTAACATAATAAAAACAGCTAATAACTACCTAAGTAATTTATCAAGGCACTTAAAGGTAAGTATTAAACTTTCAATAAAAAATGGGGTTTCACAAAAAAATGAAAACATAGGTATATTATAATTAATAAAAATTGTATTCTATAAATTTGCTTAATGTAATAAGAAGAAACAGTTGTGATAAAAGCAAATTCAATTTTTCTTTACTATTCACACTTTTAATACATTTTTAATTAAAAAAATGAACAGATATTAAAAAAAAAAGGACCAGATAAATCGTAACTTCCAAGAAAAGTCTGAGGCTAAGGCTGTATGAAAGAAAGAGACACCAGAATATAAGTAAACCTAATATATAAAATATTAGCCGACCCGGTATTAGCAGATATTGACCTCGCATTAAAAAAAACTTATCGATAAAAATTGGATTTTTAAAATAGCGCCATCTATCTGGTCGAACTATTGAAATTATTATATGCCAATATTTATGCCATTTACGAGGAAAAGAATTACACACGATGTACATCTAGTATATAGTAGTACTAGCTGAAAAGTATTTCGTAATCTATACATCTACACATATAATAAAATTGTAACTAAGCCGAATCTGTACATTAAATATTTTTTACAAAATCTTATTGAATTAAACATTATTATCGATACAGAGGCAAAATCTATAGTTTTAGAATTTTTGCCTGTCTGTCTATATGTCTGTTACCGAATCACAGAAAAACCACTGGAGGGATTTTGATGAAATTTGGTATGATGATAGCTGGTTATCCGGGTTAACATATAGGATACTTTTTACCACGGGAAAATATCTCATTTCTGAGAAAAAATACCAAAACTGCAATGTAAGAGTATACTAATATTATGTAAAACGTAAGAATTTGGTTTTTGGTCATCTGAACGCAGGCGGAGCCGCGGGCAATGCTAGTCTATACATATAATAAAATTGTATTATAATAAAACTCTAACTGAGCCGAATCTGTACATTTTTCTGAAAAATCTTATTGAAATTGACAATATTATCGATCCAGAGGCCGAATCTATAATTTTTAGAATTTTTGTCTATCTGTCTGTCTGCCTGTCTGCTACCGCATCACGGAAAAACCACTGGAGGGATTTTGATAAAATTTAGTATGATGGTAGCTGGTTATCCGGGTCAACATATAGGATACTTTTTACTGCGGGAACATATCTCTTATGATATATGATATGAGATGAATGAGAAGAAGGGTGATAGTTTAGGGAAATGTTTCTCTTAAGAATGTGATTTCGTGGTAAAAATCAACAAAATCAACCTAACTTTCCCGAGGGGCATCTGACTAATGCTTACCCTGTTTAAACTCTTTCATCAAAATCTGTTCAGTGATTTTCTCGAGATGCGTTCTCAGACAGACAAAAAATCTTAAGTTACGCTTTTGTATGGATAAAAAATAAAAATGTATTTTTCAAAAAGATTTAAAAAATATATTTTATGTACAGATTCGACTCAGAATTTAATTATATTATGTATAGAATATAGATAATTGAATAAAATCTGCAAGTAAAACTGTGCCCGTGATTTAATTCTGTAATACTCATCTGTTGGTACGATTTAACGAACCGTATAATAAAAGTTCTCATTATTACTAAAATATTATTCATTATTATTAATTAATTATATAAGGCATTTATTATATTCTTTTATTGTTTCGGGGTAATTCTTCTTGAGCATTGGGGTAAAATTATTAAAAGAATTTTTGTTTTATTTATACAAAATATTATTTACTTTATTTGTGGAATGGTCTTCAAATTTACACGAGCGGATGAAAAAAAAACTTGTGCCCCGTTTTTGGGCAGTCTAATGTCTATTACATAATTTGACATTGACTTGACGTTTATGTTGCCGACAATTTGACAAGTTGTATCTAAGAGGTTAAGTTAAAAATTAGTTACAATATTTATTGAAAAGCAAATACTAATATGTATTCCTTTTTATTTTCAAAATGTAAAATCTAAATATAAAACAAAATGTTTGGGTCATTGAACCGAAAAATAATTTTTGGGACAGTCGTACGACTGACACCCTCTTTCGCAATACCCATCATTGGACGAAGGAACGAAAATGATACCGATAATATAAATAAGCCTAATGCTGTACAAAGTACAGGATGGGATAGAGTAAAAGCAATGTATAGTAAAAAGTAAGTATAACTGCATAATGTTGTGTTTATGTTTTGTTTTTAATTTATTGCATGATGTGATAACCTGTAAAAAAAGTACATTTATCTTTGATTTGTAAATATAATCACGAATGTATTAATGTAACTTGTTAGTTATCTTAATAAAATAAGTAAATAATATTCAAATTTGATATGACTACATACATCAAATTCAACCTATATTCTTTTAATAATCATAATGTTAGGTATTTTATTATCTTTCATTTCTAGTGAAATAGAAGAAGTGTCAATGGAATTGCACAATGTAGCTCAAGCCACTATGTCTGGTATTTTAGTGGGTGCATTTTTAGGAGGATTTGCTAAATCAAGAGATGCTTATTTAACATTCATAGAAAATAATCAAGCTACTACATTTAAATCAACATTTGAAGCAAAGGTATTTAACATTTATTTAAAATATTTAAGAAAGTAAAAAAATCTTTTCATTGAAATAAAATTGTTTAAAATAGAAATTCAGGTGTTTATTTTGTTACGTGTCTTGCATTTTGTGGGTTTCTGAAATATTGAATACAAAAGTGTGTTTGTTGGTCCATGCAATTTTTCTCAGAGCTATATTGTTTTATGCATATAGCTTTTAAAATTGGGATATAAGTATGTTGCAAAATATGCACCAAGTTTCATCTGAGTAAAGAAGTTGGTTACTGGTTGAGAAGTTAATTATTTCTATTTTAACTTAAATTTTAAATTTTAACAGAAAAAACTACAAGATTTTATAACAGTTTCATTTGCAAGAGGAGCTTATCATTGGGGCTGGAGATTAGGTATCTTTACTGGTATATTTAGGTATGTTTGTTTATATTTCTAAAAGTATTAATTTGAAAATTATTAAATGTTAAATATTAAATAATATATTGCAGCAAAAAAAGATTCTTACAAGAGTTTTTAAAATGCTACTTTCATTTTATGTATTAACATAATGCAAACATAACAAAATTATTATTTTTTCAGTTTGATCTCAACAACATTATCAGTGTATAGAGATGAAAGTTCGCTTGGGGACTATGTGTCAGCAGGTATAATAACTGGGGCTATATACAAAGCTAATTTGGGTCCAACAGCCATGCTTGTCGGAGCAGGTGTAGGTATGTATGGTATATTACTCAATGAATTTTCACAGTATCATATTAAGCAATAACCTCCTAATTAGTTTCAGTCATGGTAGCCAAATATCTCACTTAGATTACCCAACTGCATAAGATATATTATAGTGCAACTAGTGCACTCTCTATCCCTTTCATTGTCAAACTTCAGTGGGGCAATTATTCTACTATGACTGGTGAGAACATCAGATGCAGAGGACATCTTTATATGTGTCCTACTCTAAGGGTAAAATGCTGCCAAGTTCAATTTCTGAGAATTTTTGGCAAGCAAGATCCAACGGCAAGTCTGCTGAAGCAGACCACAGCAACCATGGGGTTGCTCTACAGTCCATTCTGCTATCAGACTTTGAAAATTACATTTATTTCACATATAATTCTAAATATTTGTTTATTTATTTTTTCAGGTGGTGTTCTTAGTCTCGTTGGTGGTATGCTCATCTTTAGTATACTTAAACTAACTGGATTATCCATGGAGGATATCAGAAAATCATTGTACAAATTAAGAGAAGCAAGGTATGCCTTATAAAATCCATGTTAGCTTTATTAGGTTTTGTCTAACAAATATGTACTAAACTAACTGCCTCGGTGGTGTAGTGGCTAGCATGTACGGCTGCACACCCGGAGGTCCTGGGTTCGAGTCCCGGGTTGGGCCAAGTTTAGTTATTGAGTCTTTCTGTATAGTAAGCCTCAGTAATAGCCTGGAGTTGGGAAGTTGGTGGTGTTTCACCCCCGTGCCTCGGAGCACGTAAAGCCGTCGGTCCTGCGCCTTAACTCTCACCGGTCGTGTCGAGTGGTCGTCCCACCAGAGTATGAGAGTGACAGGAATAGAGAGTGCACTTGTGTCTGTGCGTACACTTGTGTACTATAATATCTCTTGCGCAGTTGGCTAGTCTCAATGAGATTGGCCGCCGTGGCCGGAATCTGTCAGGAGAACATCATCATATACTAAAAAGTGTTGTAATACAATTAATTCCCTTAAATTTTTTAAATGATAGTAGAATGATATCTTGTGTAAGAAATAAGAATGAATATTTTTTAGTAAATTTTTTTTTTATAGGCAAGACCAATTAAATCAAGCAATTGATAAAGCTGCGTATGAAAAGAACGATAATTTGACGCGACACCACGATGAAGTGGTTGAAGAGAAAGGTGTTAAGAATATAGAAGAAATACATTAAGTTTATATAACATGAAATAAATGGTTGTTTTGGAAAGGCAATATTAGGGTAATATGCTAATATGTAAAACCTAAGAGTTTGGTTTTTGGTTATCTGAACGCGGGCGGCGCCGCGGGCAATGCTAGTAAATAATTCTCTGTTTGTGCGATTACATAATTTTGATGAAACAACCAGTTTGGAGTATTATAGTAAATTTGTACAGAAATGTAAATTTTAATATGCTAATAATAAAAGTAAGGTTCATTGTTCTTTGCTGTTTTTATTTGTATTCTTAAGCATGTCTTAAGCATCCCACTGCTGGGCACGGTCCATCCTACAATACAAAGAGTGATTAAGTCATATCCACCACGCTGGCCAAATGCCTTCACATGTCTTTCGAAAGCTTGCTAGGTTCTCAAATATGCAGGTTTCCTCAAGATGGAAGACATCACCGTAAGTTATTAGTATGATGCAGTAACTCGGAACTATGTGAAGTAGGCTGCTTTCTTGTAAATTGTTTAATATGTAAATCTATACAGATAAATAAAACTGAAATATGTGTAATGTAGAAATAACAGTTTTTTACTAAATGCACATGAAATTGTATATTATGGTACTTATAAGAAAAACACAATTATTAAAATTTGTCTGTCTGTTTCTTCCGGCTAATCTTCGAAAGGTATGCAGATTTTGATGGGACTTTGACAGATAGCTGGCGTTATAAGGAGTACCTTAGGCTACTTTTATTTAAAAAAAAGAATTAGGGTTCCGTTAAAAAAAATTAAAAACTGTACTGACGCACCCGAGCGAAGCGAAGGTAAGTCGCTAGTCTATACATATAATAAAATTGTAACTAAGTCGAATCTGTACATTAAATATTTTTTGGAAAATCTAATTGAAATAGACATTATTATCGATACAGAGTCCGAATCTATAGTTTTTAGAATTTTTGTCTGTCTGTCTGTCTGTTACCGCATCACGAGAAAACCACTGGACAGATTTTGATGAAATTTGGTATTTGTTATGATGATAGCTGGTTATCCTTTTTTTTCTTTGTTTTCGCTGGGGAAACCCATCATGGGGACCCTGCCGCCATCATGGGCAGGGTACTGTGAGACTCCTACTCACTAAAACCCACAGCGGAACCCTTCGCCGCAGTGCAATGGGGCGTGCAGGATCGCTTTCGCACTCACTGCAACACCCCTGCGGAATAGCTGGTTATTCGGGTCAACTTATAGGATACTTTTTACCCCGGGAAAATATCTCATTTCTGAGAAAAAATACAAAAACTGCATTGTAAGAGTATACTAATATGTAAAACCTAAGAATTTGGTTTTTGGTCATTTGAACGCGGGCGGTGCCGCGGGCAATGCTAGCAATAAATATAAATGTTTAAATGAAATACTTTCTTTAACAATATCTATACATTTTCGTTAGATTCTTTTAATAGTAAATTCCTTGTTTAAACTATATTGGAGAAAACATTGTAATTCATATAGCAGCACTAAAATATAAAATGTTAAAAGACAAAATTAGCATATTTTTATTAAAATAGAAATATTTTCCATTACAATACTAAATGCAGAAATCGATTAATATTTAGAGCCAAATAATACACGAATGTTAAATTATCAAAAGCATTTATTAACTTTATAATAAACATAATATGACTAAATACAAAAATATAATGCCATATATACACTACAATTATAACATTGCTTTGTGCATTTTATTTAAAATTTTAATCCTGATCTATATAAAGTTTTCATAAACATTAATCGAATATAAATATCATATACAATACTTGAAGTACATTTTTATATAGTGAAATTTAAAATGGCAAGATCTGCAGACTTTATGCCTTTTTTTATTTATAAAAATGAAAAACATGCAAAAGATCAAACAAATCAAACTTTATAGGAAAATTACTGTGAACCATACAGTTTTCAAAAAATTTAAACCAAAATTCTATTTAAGTAAAGGCAGAAATGATTATAACTAATTAGATTTTTTCTATTTAGCAACTTTGAATAACTATAGTGTACCTATACTAAGAAAGCTAGTATAAAATCAGATATTCTATAATATAAGTTGACACACAAGATGGCGCTAGGTGTATTGAGGATCTAGTGTTTTGAAAATTCTAAATTAAAAAATCTATTAATGATAAAAAACGTGTGTTTACTTATGTACGCACATAAGAAGTTATACTTCTTTGGCGTAATAAAACGAAAATAGCTAAAGATTCATCCCGTATGCAGCTAACTTCATCATATCGCTTGTTGGCTGTCGGTGTGAGCGCGTATCGTAAAAAATTTACCCTCATAATTTTTTCCAAACGTGCCAAAAGAAGTATAACTTCAAAAATTATCGACTATTTAGTAAAAACATGTTAATGTACTAGCAGAATACAAAAAATATTATTACGCATTTATTTAAAACATATGTATATAGATAAAAAAGGGACGAATATAGATTCATATTTTAGAATTTCACTTTTACGCCTACAACAAGTGTTAAAATATACCTATTTAAATAATATAAAGCAGACTCAAAAGCTAAATTTTCGAATGCTAGATCACAAATTTAAATACGTATTAATCATGTCTTTTGGCGATTATGATAACAATGTAACAACTCGCTTTAAAATCATATAGCTGGAAGACAGTTAATGCATCAAACAAGCCATAGAGTATAAGTTATTAATATTTTCTTTTATTTTAAATAATAATTATTAAATTTAAATTCTTTTTCAGGTTTTAAAATAGAACTTTATATAATTGGAAATTACGATCACAAATCGATTACAAAATCGATTCTTAGATCTTGTACTTACGTAATGAAATATGTGAGGAATTTAAAAAAAAAAACCAAATCAAATAAATCGATAATAACTCGTTTATAAACTTCTATAATCGATGCCTAGTCTACATAAATCATCATTCATAATCGCCATTTTAAAAATCCGAATATTGCACATATTATGAATTAATAATAAGCTTAGCTAAGTTTAATTCGTTTAATACTGTTGTCGCTAACATTATTGCTTTTGAACAGTAACAATTATTGGTCGATTTTGCAACGTTTTTTTTAATATTAAGTGACATTTTAACTAGTGACGTTCACTTTTACTTAAAATCCCAATAAATATCTTAAATAAATCGATTTGAAAAGGAGACGTTTCGATTACAATGAAACCAGGACTAGGACAGATATTTGATTCATATAGACTAGTTTTATTTTACCTTTTATAAACAAATAAATGGTTAATAATTTTGTTGTAATATAAATATTAATTTATTGATGAATATAGATGTTAAATACAACATTTATTAAAAAAAAATTAATATTCCTCTTAGTGGAAAAATCACATAAATAAATCATCGAAGTTGTAATTTTAAGCGTTATATAAAATCCTTTAATTCAATTTATTTTCTTATCTATGGTTTAATATGATAATCATGATGATTCCCTCCCGACCGATCTCCCTGAGACTAGCCAACTGCGCAGAAGATATAGTACGCGCACGCAGCGGAGGCCCTAAAGCTCTGTCCGTACTGCGATATTTTATCGCACGTTTTTCTCTCGCAATTCTGTAAGATATTGAATCTTATAGGAGCAGCCGCACTTGCGGTTAAAAATTCACGCGGGAAAAATCTGTGATTTGACGCAAATTGAACGCGATGCGGTGCGGCTTTCTCAAGGTTGTAAATGGGTGAATCCAATGTTCATGACATCTTCTGATAGCTCTGTCACGCTACCGCCGTCACCGTAGTATCAACTAAATTATTTTTTTTCTGTCATCCATTATTCATTTTAAGACATTCGTCTCAGCCGGAAACTGCATATCGAACTGACAAAAATCGTACGAATTTCTATTTGCAGTGCGTAATATGTATAATTCCGATCACGGAATATAATACGCGAGAATAAAAATCGCACGGTGAAATATCGCAGTGCGGACATGGCCTAAGATTCTTTGGAGATATTATGTGAACATCCAAGCATAGTTTAGAAAAACTAATAATCTTGGGCCAAATGGGCATAGGTGCCCTCGGGCAATGGGCACCCATGAGGTGGTCGAACGCGCTAGCCACTAGCGTTAGTCTAGCAGTTAATATAATAATAATAATAAGAAGTTTCGATAAGATATCCTTATGAAAATATGAAACGTCTCCATTTTCAAATAACACTATAATAAAATATGATAAAAAACGAGAATAGATTATAAAATTTTGGACTGAAAAATAATTTAGAAGAAATTTTAATAAAATTGGCATGAATTAAAAAATATTTCAAAGTTTTATAATTATTGAGCTGATTGTGCTTTAGTTATCCTTTTGGCCCCTCTATTGGGGGGGCCTTTTGGTTTAGCGAATGCCGGTCGATGCAAATTTCTCTTTGGATGGATCTCATCATATAAGTATTCTTCTGTCAATTCTTTTCCATCGTCTATTTCGAGCTGTAACAGACATATATAAAAAATATTTAGATATTATGTTTGTTTGTTTTTAGTGCAACTGTCCATTAAAAAAACTTAATAAATTATTGTGTATAATGTTAAAATTTGCTATATATTCAAAGGTGTGTATAGGACTATCCTTTTGTATCTATCGATATAAATAAAAATGATCGTATGTTTGTCCTTCACGCTTTCCTAAATCTGATTGTGATGAAACTCAGGTGGGCTATTCTGTATACGCCTGCGTAGGTTCCTGTAGTAAAAAATATTTTTCTTTGGATGTTTGTCTCTTATACCTTAGTTCCTAAACCGTTCAAGGTTATCGACGCACCTGAACCAAGCAATTGTAAGTAGCTAGTATATTATATTTACTTTGCCAGCTTATAACCTAATTTACCCCACTTATTTTAAATTTAAATTAAAAAAAAAATACTCTGAACTGTGCCTAAAACTAAGAGAGTGATATTTTTAACAGTTTAAAATGTAGATTATAGATGGCGCTAACAAAAAATTCAACATTTAACTATTATTGAATTAAGTATCTTATAATATTAAAAAAGAAATTCTTGTATATATGTATTTATTTCGAAACAGCTCATAGATTTGGATCAAATTTTGTATTTAAATAAGGTTTTACTTTTATAAAGTTTATCTATGTAGGTGTTTTTTTACAAAAAAAAAACGAATTATATATATAGAACCTTTTTCTATCTGCACTCATGCTGACAATATTATACAGCGCCATCTCGTAAATGAGTGTGGTACTTGCATTGCTACCAATGGATGATAATCTACTGGACGAGCGTCTACGCCTAGCTACTATGATATAAGTTATAACTATGGTTATGAATAATATACTATTGAAAAATACTTTATGAGCTATTGTCATATGTACCAAATATACAAAAAAAAAACAACATTAAAATCGGTGAATCCACGAGATCTTCATATATCAGATTTTATGCATAAATGTAAAAAAATATCCAATACGATTTACACATACCCGTTTTGCAATAACGAGGCCCATTTTTTCAATAATTTCTAGGAATTGACCTTTGCAACTGGAGTACATCATTCTTTCCTTTATACTGCAGCTGTATCCGGGCATTGAGTAGATGAAAACTGTAGAAGGAAATATATATTGTCATATGTCAATTTATTATCCCCATTTTAAATATTTTTGCTAAGCTTTTTGTTCAAGGATGACTTGAAGAAGTCTTTGTTTAATCGATAAAACTGACTCATGTACATTTTTTTTTGTGTTTTTGTTAATTTTCTTTGTGGATGTATAATAAAGAATATTCACTATTATTATTTGTTTTACATATTATGTAGTATAGAGTAGTAGTATAGGGATTACAATTAGAATGGTCTCTATATATCGACTGAGAACAATGTCCGATCAATGTCTGACCGATTTCAGTCACCTGCCATGTCACTGAGATGTTATAATGTAACGTGCACTCTATTGCTTACACTTTCAAAGTCCGATAGAACGATACTTTAAAACGACTGGTTACTGAGAAACCTCAGTTACTATACTTGGCCATGCCTAGGACTCGAACCCAGAACCATCGGATCTGCAGCCGTACTTGCTAGCCACTAGACTACACTAGACACAGTCGACTAAGAATTTTAATATATTAATTACTCATATTAGATCATCTTAGTGCTTATTTGTTCAAACTACCAATACTTGTTGTACTTTACAGTAATAGCTTTTCCTTTATTTTAAAAACAAAGTTTTGTATCCAATAATTATACACATATTACATATATATAAAAACTAGCAGAACCTGCGGCTTCGCTCGCGCTAAAACTGTAAAAAGTTTGTTTCATACAAACCTTCATCCCCAATTTTACCATTATTTATGATGAATTTCGAAAAATGCTAAAACACATATTTATTTAATTTTATTAAAATGCATTAACACCAAATTTCAAGTAATTCTGACCATAAATATTTTTTTGGATTGTATTATAACGTCTTTTCCCACGGGAATGAGATAATCTCACGCGGTAAAAATAGTCTATGTCTCTCCCCAGCTCTCCAACTATCTCCACACAAAAAATCACGCCAATCCGTCTCGTCTCTCTGTTTCCGACGTGAACGAAGGACAAACAAACAGACAACAAACGTTTATAATATTAGTATGGATTCCTACCTATACTCTCCATATGATCGCCTTCATGCGTGTGCTTGAATATGTACAGGTGGTACCTCGCTTGGTCACTCGGTACTTGAGATGGCAACTCCGTTAAACTGATAACCGCTGCTTTTGATAAGCAAATTTTCTCTTCTTCTAAATCTGTAGAAATGTTAAGATGCAAATTATATTTAAGAAGTTCAGTAATTCAAAAAAATAATAATAAGAAAATGGACAGATTATGTTAATATAAACATTTTATTTCCCGTTTGTTGATGTGAAACCTCTATTGGCACGCCTTGGCAGTAAAACGGATTTTAAAGGATATAGTTTTACTAATCTAATACTATTAAATTTAAAATAATTAATTTCTTTATATATCTGTTTAGTCGTAATATGTATATTTTAAAGTATATATTTTAACCTATTTTAAACTGTAGATAGTTGTAGGAACCATGTTGGAGATCGAGTATGCCCTGACTAGCCGACTCTGTTATTGGGAACGATATCCCTCCCATCGTTGACTGTCTGAAAGCAGATAATATAATTATGATTAGGTTATTTGAAACATAAAATATTGATATATAGAATATAAAAGTAATAAAAATAATATATTTATATTTTAATGATTCACATACATGTCATATACTAGCGACTCATCATCACTTCGAGTTCATCCCTAGACAAAAACAAATATATCCCACAGGAAACGTACATTTTTCCGGAAAATTAAACTATGTGCTATTCCAGATTATGATCTATCTCTGTGCCAAAATTCATCCAGATCTGTTCAGCCGTTCTCGTGTAAAAGAGTAACAAACATCCATCCATCCTTACAAACTTTCTCATTTATAATATTAGTGGGTATATGAATAGAAAAAAGAAGGGATTGAAATATTAAGCTTTCAAGATACTTTTAAGTGTCATCAAAAGAAGTTTCAAACAATTATAAAGAAAAAAAAGTACTATTCATGAAAAAGGAAGTGTGCAAATAATAAGTCTAACTTTATAAATTTAAAATTTGTCAACGCAATAAAAATATTTATACACATAAATGTAAATAAGCAGCTATGTTTTGATCTGAGCCTATAATTGATATCTGAATCCAAATAAAAAATATTTAGCATCATGGTAACAACATATGAATCATCAAAAGCGTCCTACGTGTTGTCTCTAGAACGCCACATAGGAATAAATATACATACATACACTGATAAACACATTACCCTCTTTTGCATCGCGCAATCTGGTAAGAGACTATTATATGCTTTATACGAAAGAAACATATAAATAAATGAATAACTTTATTTAGTATTACCTAGAATCAGTACTATAGTTGGGATCATGTTCACTGTGCTGTAGCTCTTTTAATGCTTCCTCCCTATCTGTGAGTGGTGCGGGGGCGTTCACCCCACTCACATGAGCTTTATAACCTTTCAAGCACACTTCGTCCTACAATTAAAAAAATATATAATAAAATGAGTGCATGTAACCTTTACGCATGTTTGAAGTAAAAATTCTTTGGCGCTGTAGCAGACACCACAATTAAATCAAAACAAATCAAAATATAAATATAATAATTTATAATAAAAATATAAATATACAAATATAAAATCATTACTAATAAATATTTATTTTTATAAGTAATAATTATTGCAGGGCATGCATGGGGGCAGATGAAACGGCTGCACATGTGATCTTGTATTGTCCAGGTCTAGCGGAGTACCGGGCTCAACATCTTGGCACTCCTAGGTCACTCCCGGAAATCTTCGGCAAGACAAAGAGGTTGCTGAAATTCCTGGAGGAACTGGGATGGCAGGAGTAACGAGAATTTAAATTCCCACACACGCAAAGTAGGCGCATAGTCGTCGAGTTGCGGAAACCAGCCCGAACATACCATACCATACCATACCAAGTAATAATTAATACAAAAACATAATAAATATTTTTTAAATTATTGCTAATTAATTTGACTCTCACTTCCGCAAAACTCACTTCCACAGCACGCATTTTGCCAATATATTGACTTACCCCTCAGTCACGCCTAAATAAAATTTTACAAAAAAAAATAATCATAAACATTAATCTCAACACTAAGGTGAGAAGTTTGATACCACTTTGACTTTGAATTAGACTTTGCAATAAAATAAATAACTAAAACTAAATAACATATCTATATGTGATATGATGATGTTCTCCTAGCCGATTCCGGCTACGGCGGCCAATCTCATTGAGATTAGCCAACTGCGCAGGAGATATTATAGTGCACAAGTGTACGCGCAGACACAAGTGCACTCTCTATTCCTATCACTCTCATACTCCGGTGGGACGACCACTCGACACGACCGGTGAGAGTTAAGGCGCAGGACCGACGGCTTTACGTGCTCTCCGAGGCACGGGGGTGAAACACCGCCAACTTCCCAACTCCGGGCTGTTACTGAGACTTACTATACAGAAAAACTCAATAACTAAACTTGGCCCGACCCGGGACTCGAACCCAGGACCTCCGGGTGTGCAGCCGTACATGCTAGCCACTACAGCACTGAGGCAGTTAAAATATGTGATATACTAATATAAACATACTTCATATTTTGATAAGAAAGTTTTCGAAGACATTTTATTTTTAAAAACAATTTTAGTATCTGCATGAATTTATATTTCATACCTTACTTGTAGCATGCATTTCATCCTTTATGTGAGCCGAACCAAATTCCTGTTTCAGAGTGGCTTTAGTTGAAGCATATAACATCTTATGCCTTACAGGAGCACTATCTGGAGACCAACTTAATAGAAGCCATTCATGCCCTAAGGAATTTGTTGTGTCAAATCTGTAAAATATATACACAAATATTTTATTTATCTTTAACCTGTCAACGACTGCCGAGCCACAGGTGACTCGGTTAAAAATTAATTTCTTAGAATTTAACCTTTAATTTAGATGTTAATACCAATATTAAAGAATGAATATGAAATTATTTAAAATATTAATTATACCTGTACAATATATAACACGGCAGATCTTCCACAATTAATGATGGAACATATTTATCAAAATCATTTTCAAATGTTCCTTTAACAGGTTGATACTTTGCTAATGTTAATTGTTCTAAAAAAAATCAAATATTGCACAATTACACTTCAGGCCCAAAAAAATTTACTTATTTATTCCAAGTTTAGAATAATAAATGATTGATATATTACCATTTTCTATGCTAATTTTTACAACTCTGATTTTTCCATCTCGACATTTGCTAAAGTACTTTTTTAATTCTGCATTAGCTGTAATTAAAATTTTCTAAATTATATTTAGTACTAGCGACTGCGACGTCTTTAGGTATGTTTTGACGGTTAGTATAGATTTGTCAGAGGTGGGATATTTTTCTGCAGTAAAAAGTTTCCTATATGTTGACCTGGATAACCAACTATCATCATACCAAATTTTATCAAAATCTGTCCAGTGGTTTTCTCGTAATGCATTCTCAGACACAAACAAAAATTCTAAAAACTATTGATTCAGCCTCTGTATTAATAATGACTAATATTTCAATAAGATTTTCCAAAAAATATTTAATGTACAGATTCAACTCAGTTAGAATTTTATTATATGTATAGATAGTCATGATTTACAAGGGGCTGATTTGTCACATCTGGAGTTTTAATTTTATAAATAAACAGTAGCATATTTATAAGATTTTATAGAACAGATAATATGTAGGTAATGAAAATATGTATTACCTGACAAAGAGACGCTTATCAATTATAATATAATTAGATACTACTTTCATTAAAATGACACGCCTCGTTATTTATTTAATGATTCCTTCGACATATTTTTTTTTTCCTATTGTATAAATTACGTGTAGTATTGTATAATACTACACTAATTCAACAATACTTTAAAATAAATAAATTTAATTAAATAAAAATAATTCACCAGAAACTATCATTGAAAAAGAAGTGAACAAATAAATACCTTGAATCCCAGTTTGGTGAGACATTTTTTATTTTAAGCACAATTAACTTTAATGTACCTATGTGAATATAATATAGTTAAATAACGAAATGATCTATTTCTTATATGTAACGGGAAAATATGTAGGCGAAAGCGTAAAGCAACACTCCGGCAAGATTTTGTCTTACATGGCCAGCTGTCAATATTCCTTTCAATGTCAATGTCAAGTGTCAACTCATTAATAGTTCGGAAATTTTCAAAGTCATATAATATATCTGTGCTTAGTCTGTGACCATAAATAAAATAGTACTCGTATTAATTAATAAATACTAGAGGATCTGAGCAGCTTTGCAACATCGTGTTGATAATATAATTTAAAAATATATATATATCTCTCTCTCTTAGCTATATGATGAGTAATTGTAACCTAACCTAAATTATTAGAGGATAAAAAATTTGAACAAGATCTGTTCTCGTTTGTTCAGATATCATATTGCTTTAGCTTACAATTTCTTGTGGGAGCAATCTCCCACAAGAAATTGTAAGCTAAAGCAATAAGACGACCAAAATTGGCGAAATCAAAATCTTTATATTCTATACTAATACTATAAAGAGGTAAAGTTTGTGAGTTTGTGAGGTTGTAGGGGGTAATTTCTGGCTCTACTGAACCGATTTAGATGAAAGGTAAGAAGATAGTTTGAGACTCTGGTAAGGACATAGGATATTTTGTATCCCGGAAATCACGGGAATCAATCAGGGACGAACCCGAGCGAAGCGACGGGAGTCGCTAGTTTTTAATAAAACTATGTGGACATCATTTTACAACAGGTGATTTTAAAACACTTAAATCGTCTACAGCTGATTTTAATTTTTTTTTTTGTACTTTTTACATATTGATTAATGATTACAAAGTTTCTTTTCAAAGTTTATATGGGCAAAGAATTATTTAAGATCAGAATTACTTGAAACTTGGTATAATACAAAATAGTACAAATAAATGAATAGGTTTTAGCATTTTTGGAAATTCAATCCCATAAGGAGTAAAATGTGGGATGAAATTTTGTATGAAACTCTGTAATTAATATGTAAAAAAGTAAAAAAAAAATGTTCACCTGTAGACGATTTAAAAGTTTTAAAATTACTTTCTTTAAAATGATATCGAAATATAAAGATTGTGATTTCGCCAATTTTGACGTCTTATTGCTATAGCCCCAATTCCTTTACTTTTTCTTCTTTGGGGAATAAATTATATCTATTTTCTTTGCATCCTGGCACTGCGCAATTTATCATTTTAATTAAAATAAAATGAGAAAATATATCCACGCTACAGAGCTTTACAATATACTGCAAGTATAGAGATCGCGACATCTGGTGAGAGAAAAAGGCAAAATTCTTCTCCATTCTTAATTACTTCATAAGTTTATAAATGATGTAAAATTTTGTTGTTGTGACTTTTGTTGGATATAATTAACAGAATAAAAAATTTAAAATATCCCAAAACAAATTTATAATAAATAATGCTATAATAAATTAACTTAATTAACGTGCAAAATATAAAATTATAAAAAAATATTTATATTAAAGACTTATCATGTTAGTGTTTCTATCTATTTATAGCAGTTTCATTGAGCGCACTAAGTTCTAAAAAAATAATATGATGTTATTAAGGTTTTTATGTATGTATGTCTTACGACTTATTTTATACGAGTGAGAGTGTATCTTTTTAGAACGAACAAAAATAATTATTCGTCCTTTATAAAATATATAAATTATAAGGACTACTATACGAATAGACTAATAAAAAAGTAGAATAAGTAGCTCGGCTCAGCTCGGTAGTTTAAGGTTTTTTTTTTGCATATAGAAACCGCTGCACCAAAAAAATCTCTTATTTTACATTAGAAAACAAAAAAAGTGATAAATATTTGTAAAAACCGACAATAGTCGAATGAATAATATATTTTTTGTCCATCCGACTATCGGACGAATAGCAACATCCTCCTTTATTTATTCTTCGTCCAATTAAAGTACGGATAGTTAATTTTTATTCGTCCTTATTTTAAGTACATACAAATAGTGTTGCTATTCGCCATGCATATTTTATAATAATGAAATAATTTATCTTTGATTGAAAATGATTAGATTACCTACAGAATTTATCAGTCTTTAATGAGTTTGCGATGATGTGATTAAAATGCAAGTTGCAATTACAATTCACCACGTACGTCTTAAGCAGCAACAGGAACAGCAAGCTTATTTGACAGAATTGCGAATGCACAGCGCTACAAGCCGGTAATACTCTAATGAATACTACGAGCTATTACTCAGATGCATTTCGACGTCTCTCTAAATTTATTTGACGACGAAAGATGCTTTTCAATTAGCAGCAGGTGAACTAGGTAATATAAATTCAACTCTCGCAGCTTTCCGGTTTCCTTGTGAATATTTATCAGCTTCTGTATAAAATATTAAAAATATGATTAATTAAAATGAATATTATAAATATTTTCCGTGAATAACTGGAGTAATATTAATTATTATTTGCCTACTCAGGCCCCAACTACGAGTACGTTCTAAACGTCTTTTAATTATATCGTGATATTAAATAAATAAATAGCTTTAAATGTAATTTTCCGGCCCAATACTGTATTTCTAAAATATCTAGGTATTAAATACTTAAATTAACAAATAAATAAAAATACTTACATAAACCTCATGTCATTAAAAAATATTATTAAATATATTATAATTAATTACAAATAAAATTGTCATTGTACCTACTTTTACTCTGTATCGGGTTCTATAAGATCGAACGGGATGGCGATGCACTGTGGACGCCCTCTGCCTCACCTAGGGGACATAGAAACATAAGTCAAGTAAGTCAGTTAGCATCTACCTAATAATCATAATATTAGCTCAAATTAAAAATGTATGCATACGATTGTAAATTTTATGCACAGGTACTCTGTGAAGTGGAAACATTTGGTTCTCAAAGGATTCATAAACTATTTCTGCTATCGCTGACGTTGACCCGATTTTAATGCTCATATTTGTCAAAATTTTTAAAGTAGTTTTTGCTTACTAAAATAATTTTTGTACAATTTCTGACATCGTGTGTAAAACTCTATGTATTCTGTATTCATTACAATACAGAGAATACAATAATTTAATCTATGTAAGTTTCTTTAATCTGTGACCATGTTATATTACATCCAAATCGATTTAGTGTTTTAGTAAAGCAAAAATAGCCTATATCTTTAAAAGCCTAGTCTATGTCGAATTTCATAAAAAAATGATTTAGTGTAATATTATTGCATTTTTTTTTACTATATGATGACCAAAAAGAAATTCTTAGGTTTTACATATTAGTATACTCTTACATTGCAATTTTTGTATTTTTTCTCAGAAATGAGACATTTTCCCGCGGTAAAAAATAACCTATATGTTAACCCGGATAACCAGCTATCATAGTACCAAATTTCTCAAAATACCTCCAGTGGTTGTTTTGTGATGCGGTACCAGACAGACAGATAGACAGCCAGACAAAAGTTCTAAAAACTATAGATTCAGCCTATGTTTCGATAGTAATGTTTATTTCAATAAGATTTTCCAAAAAATATTTTATGTACAGATTCGGCTTAGTTACAATTTTATTATATATACTATAGATAATAGCTATAAATGTCTTGATCTAGTTGATTTTTGAACTTCTATCCATTTTGAACTAATTCCTAGCTCAGTCGAGTACGTAAGCGGTTTGCTCCACGGGAATTGAGTACAAGTCAAATACTCCAGCACAATTTAGTTTGGTATATATTTCTCATTCAGTTAATTGATATCGTCGAAATACAGTTCGTAAGTGATGCAAATAGATTCATCGAAAAATTCACCGAGTATCAAAAGAAGAATAAACGAACCTAAAAATATTTTTTTAATTTTTGTGGGTAGTTTAAAAATAAAAGTCTTATCTATATATCTTTATATATATAATTCTTCTGTGAGTGTGTATGTCACTGAACTTCTCTCAAACGACTGGACCGATTTTGATGAATTTTTTTGTGTGTGTTCAAGGGGATCTGGGAATGGTTTAGATTCACAATTTGAATAATAATTTTCATCAAAAAAATTATTAAAAAAAGTTTGAAATTTTCAAATTAAAGACGTGTAGACAGGACAACGTCTGTCGGTTCCGCTAGTAAATTATAAATCTTTGGAGCTAGTTGTTCTGAAAAATGATAATATATATACAAAATCTTAGAACTTAGGACTAATACAACGGTAATGTACTTTTGTATAAGATACTATTTTATAAAAACCTACCATACAAACGGAATCGGAATGAAAATTGATCACACTAGGTAATATTATAAATGTTCATAAATACATATGTATGTATGTACGTCCATAAATAATATTAATAATATTCGGCCTCTAAAGAGTGCCAGCTCATGAATATCGTTATGCAGGGCATTCTACGTGTCGGTTCCATCGACCATCAAGGCATCTGGAGAAGTGACCACTCTACTTCAACGTGCTAATTATGCACGCGATTAACATGCTAGAATGTCGTGAAGTTTTATTGTATGGTACATAAATAGCGGAGCCGCAGGCATAAGCTAGTGTTATATAGTATATGAATTTCGAATTGAAACTTTGTTCGCGGTTGCGGTTGTTGGTTATGGTCTATGGATTTATCAACAAAATAACCGAACAACCAAACTTTATTTATGTACGTTTGTCGGTTATATTGTTGAATCATTTAACTTACCTAACTTAAATTCCGATACTTATTACTGTCTTTATCAATACCTATATCGTTTCATAAAACAAGATTTATGTTTGTAATTAGTTCAAACTAAAGGAACATCCGTCTTAAAATGTTTCATATTCTCTAAAACTTTACTTTTCACCGGCGCGGCGGTTCCGCTTTAGACTTTAAAAAGCCTTTGTGTATCTAAGATGTCAGATTTCTCTATTCCGAATTTTGCTCAAATCCTTTGAATTTTTACTGTGTATTTCACACAGACACAACAAACACTAAAAACGTTT